TAACTTTCAAAAAGGAAATCAGTTATGGTAAATTTAAATGTAGGCCTACACACTGTTGACATGTACATTACATAATTTACTAACATCCAGCTCCATTGGAGCTTCTGCTTCCAAGTGTATGGGCAGCTCCATGCCTCTTCTGGTTTCCAGAAAAACTCTGGTTGCGGGGCCAGCTGAAATCATTTTCAAGAGGGAATGTTTGTAAATAAATTTGTAATTAGATTAATTTTGTATATAACATGTACATACTGTTTAATTTTTTACTGAGCTATTTTCATATTTTGTTTTTGTTATTCAAACTTTGTACTTTACAATATATTTTATTATATTTTTACAATATATCTTGTATATATTGTTCTATTTTTAATTTATTTTTCCAGATTATGTTATTTTGTTATACCAATTTAATTATTTGATAAGTATTTCATTTGTTACATTTAATGCACAACTAAAATGCATTCAATTTATTATCCAATAGCACAATTCCATGTCACTTAGACAAATGCCATAATTCTGTCAGTCTTAAATAACATTTGGCAAAATGTATTTTTTTTATAAAATGTTTTTTTTTTAAAAAGTTGACTATATTATGTTTTATCTAAAGATATAGAACACTCGTACTCATTTTCTTTTAAAATTCCAGTTAAAATCTCTGTTACTTCTGTAAAAGATCACTTCAATTTTTACTTTATACAGTCAGTCTATAGGAAAAATAATTTCCCTCAGCATGTAGTTAAATCCCCTTGGACATGTGGGACAAGTTTTTGAATTTTCTTGTGTTGGTGACTTGCTCAATACTTCCATGTTTTTGATTTGCCTTAATCCATTGGGAGTTTAGTAGTCTGTTTTGTGTAGTCTCTTGCTGCTTTGCACATTACATTCTCTCTATGAGAGCGAGATAACTTCCTTTTATGGCCACCCAACTGAAATCCTTTTCAAGTGGGAATGTTTGTAAATTTGTAAGTAGATTTTGCATATGACTTGTACATATTGTTCTATTTTACTATTGATCTATTTATTTTCGAATTTTGTTTTTGTTATTCAGACTTTGCACTTTAATGTAAATGTACTATGCTATAATTTTACAATATAACTTCTAAATATTGTTCTATTTTTTATATTTTTTTGTTATTTAAATTTCATACTTCATTTTGAAACAGCATATTTTGTAGGCCTATATAAAAAAAATATTCCTCTTTATTTTTTTAAGTACAACAATTGTAGGCCTACATATTCTATTTTTTTTTTCAAATATTTGTTTTTGTTTTTCAAATTTAGTACTTGAATCTAAAATGTATTTAATTATATTTTTAAGATATAATTTGTAAATATTGTACTATTTCCATATTATCTGTTTATCTGTTTATCTTTTCTAACATTTGCTCTGTTATTCAAAATTGTACTTGGTTTGGCTTTATTTTTTTAATAGTTTTTTTTTTTAAGTTTCACCTTTTATTATTTAAATTTTTTACTTTGTAAAAATGACTATATTTTTTACATATTTTTATGAAGTTTTACTTTTTGGTTAGTCAAATTTTAAAATGTAAATTAAAATTTATTTATCATATTTTTGAAAATTTTTATTTTTGAGTTGCTTGTTTATTTATTAGGGGTCATACATAAATGGTGATGCCCTTTTGTGAGTGGCAATGGGGTCGGCGAGGGGGGGGGGAGGATGATCCTGAAACAGTGATCCAATGGTATCACTCACCAAATAGTAAGTTTAAAAAAAAAAAAGCACAACAAAATGATTTTCTCATTATCAGTCTTGGTCCTCTGCTGCTGTGAGTAGTTCTAAAATAGGCTGCCCTGTCCAGTCTTTCATGTCATTCATCCAGTGATGTATTTGCCTGCCACTGACTACATTAGTTATATGATCCCTGTATAATATCCCAAGGAGTTTGTGTAAACAGGATCTGGATGATTCTCTGGAGGTCTGTGTTGAGGGTCCACGCCTCACATCCATACAGGAAGACAGACATAACCAGTGACTACAAGAGTTTAACTTTTGAGTTAGTTGAAGTATTTTTGTCTCACCAAATGCTTCTTAATTAACTGAGTGCTGTTGTTTGTGCACTTTTTGCAAGCATTTCTTGCTTTGTTCCTTCATCAGATAGGATGGCGCCAAGATACTTGAACAAGTGAACTTCTAATTTTTAGTCATTTACATGCATGCCTGCCATTATGCCATTTCGCTAATTAGTCATAATAATTTCCTTTACTGCATTGATTTCCATATTGTGATGTTATTTACAGGATCAAACAAGTTAAAAAAAGATGCTTAATTAATGTAGTAGATACTTGTAGTATCACAGCAACCTAACATATACGAGAGTACTCCATAAATTATGACACCTGTTACTCTTAATTAATAATTATTTAACAAGCAGAGTAGAACCTTGTATAACTATAGTGCAAAGATACAAAAAATGCATTAACCCTTCTGTCAGGTGCATAAACTTTGCTGAGACTTAATAGAATTTTTGTAAGTCATACAAGGATCTAAATAAATAAACCTTTCTATAAAGTGTATTGGTTTCAAAATTCATTGAGATAAAGTTTATATTATAAAACCAAAGTGGTTGTCAAACCATACAGGGGAGATAAGCAGTTATTGTCAAGAGAGACAACAACAACGCCTCAGCATCTTCTAAGTAAATGCCCTATTATTGACAACTATTTCTAGCTCTGATTCAATATGTTTGGTACAAAGCCATGTTAATGCCCCATTCTCAGAAACTTGAGCAAGTAACTGAGACTTAAAGTGATTAGACTTTAACTCGATATTTTACAAATAAAAATCAAGCACTTACGTTCAACACAAAAAGCATACTTACTAAGGGACATAATCAAGAGAAACTATGTATTCTGAATACCTAGTTGCATACCTTTATCTTGTAGAACAGCGGATGATTCTATTTAGGCCTATTTGACTAAGATAAGTTGTAAGTCAGTTTTGGAGTATTATGACTGCTGGCCGCTGTCGTGTCTCACCCAAAACAGATATACGGATCTAAGCCAGCACGTGATGTAAATGCAAATGTTTTAAAATTCACAATATTTAATAAAATAGTATTATTTCAGAAATCTGGGTATGTGCCGAAAAGTGACATTATGATCGGCTTTACCCTTTTTGCACAAGGGAGACTAATACTTGCGCGGGGAGACATACGCGATGGTCGTTGATGGGGGTGGCGGGTGGCAGTCAGGATAAAATAATAATGAGTACCGCGAACTGGGCTTATACATGTGTTTAATCTCTTTTATTATGTACAAGCTTAAATTGAATAATTTCCGATCATTACGGAATTATCTTAAATAGACTAGTGTGGTAAAGAAAAACAGAAAATAAAATATTTTAAATATTTTTGCTAATTAAACACATTAACAGTAAATGTTTCTAACAGCTAGGATACATAGGCTTTTTATTCTTTTTTCTTTAAATGTCAGAGATGGCTTTGTTAAGACAGATGTTTTAAACGATATCATGTTTTTTTTCCGACAAAGTGCGCCAAAGTACAAAATATCCTCACCCCCCCCCCCCCCGCCCCTACCCCAAAAGCCACATCGAATTATTTCACAAAAGGTTCCTACATTTTTTGCATTTTGGTAATAGGGCCTACTTGTGATATTAAAAAAAGAAACATACACATAATAAGTGGTAGAAATAGCATTTCAAAGGCTAAAGAATACAGGGCACAGGGGGAAAAGTGTTTAGTCTAATCAATTACTCTGAGAGAGGCATTAGAGCAGATTCTAAAATAGATATTTGGCTACTAACTATAAGGTAAACCAATAAACACAACATGCAACACATTACTATGGCAGCTGATTCATTTTGTACATAATTTATAATATGAAATAGCACATTAATTATATAAAAAACCGCATGCTTTACATATCAACGCAGAAACTAAAGAGATTCGACATAAGCCGAAATTACCGAAGCCAACTTGCGTAATCAATTTTACACTTTTGTACAATTAAAGCTATAGGATACTATTTTGAGTTGTAAATTTTCAAATGGGGTGCCACCCTAGTCCACTTCGATGTACAGTGTATGATGTATGTCTGTGGAAGTCGCAACCCCAGTCCCCCTCCCCCCCCCCCCCCCCCTACCCCTCTCCCTTTTTGCCAAAATGGCACACATTATATTAATCCACATATTAATTCAATTCAAAATAAAACCCATCTTTTTATAGTAAATCATTAGATGCCACACACACATCCCGTATCTGTTACTGAAAATATTCAACAAAACTTTTTTTGCCTCTGTAATATTGCATACGGTGTCTGTGCACACTTGATATATAGGTTATCTATAGTCGGTTATTAATACAGCTGGATGTAGCATTGTTATCTCTTTAGTCAGCAAGTGTACGTAATGGTGCCCCCTCCCCCGTGTTTCTTCCATTCTTCCAGACTTTTTTTTCTCCTCCGGGGGGGGGGGGGGTGGGAGGGGGGGAAGGGGAGGAAAGGGGGGCACTTTATATTTTCGGGGGGGGGGGGGTGGACACTGGTAAAAGTGTGTTTTCTATATAAATTCTATTTCAATCTGGAGGGGGGGGGGCAAACCCCCACCCGAACTGATGCCTGGAAGAAACTTTTTAACCTTAATTAATCAATAGTTAAACTGACAAATGGCATTTTCTTCTGTAAATTTTCAACTTTTGACCTTGGTGTCAGCCCTTAAATGTGTCACCCGGTGCGGTCCTAACGCCGTGCACCCCTTACTGTTCATCACTGTTTCAAGTAGGCCTACTTCTAAATAGGCTAAAAACGTGTAGATTTATATTATGGCGTTAAAAGTCAGACAAATAACAATACTAGTTGGTTAATAGATTCTATATCTTTAGATTTTATTAACATAGATTAATATGTTTAAAATAACCATTTTCAAGGACTTATGAGAAACTCACTATAGGCTCTTTATTAAGTTCTAGATTTTAGAGCTACATTGGTTACATTGGTTATCTTTCGGTAAGTGGTCAATCACGGCGCCACTTCCGAAATCAACAAAAGTTGTTTATGCCTTGAATCAAGGCCTGTATTAATTACAAAATTAGTAGATCTTGCATTCTATATCTAGAGATTCTACTTATCTTGACTGGTTGGTTGGAATTCTCACTGGATTTTAAATTTAAATGTTTTTCAATTCAAACTTTAACTATACCAATTTCATCAGCAGACTGTCAGTCCGAACTCTCAGTGAGAAGTGAGACTCACTTACTTTGACTTCATATTTTCATAAAATAATTACTAGCCTAATTAGATCTATTAAATTAATCATAATCATTCAGTGTCAGACTGTCCACTCCATACATTCAAATTAGGCCCTAATTAATAATTTACTAACTCTTTGAATTGACTGTTTCCTATGGGATCTAGAGTAAAGTTCCACGCGCGGTTAAAACACCGGTGCGGTCATCGCCTGTTTATCGCTTCGTACAATATTTGTTTTGATGTTTTATACGAAACTACCGATATCTGCTGTAAACCTGTCCATTTCTAAATATATCCAGGTCAAATTCTTTTGTTTTTCTCCTTCTGGAAGTCGAGTTTTTAAATTTTAAAGTTTCGAGGTATGACGTCGAAGGCGATTCTAGTTCCCGGTATGAAAAACACTAGGTCCCGGATGAGATGAATAAACCAACCAATCAAAGCTTTTTATAACTAGGTTAACTATAAATAGCTTCTACAATATGTGCGGGACACTGTACATACGATAGATTAGGCTAATAAAGCAACCTGATAGGTGAATAGGGGTGGCCGCAGCTTGGGTGTCGATTTGGGTGGTTTCACCGCGCTGCGTAACCAACGACTTGAGCTAGACTAGCCTAGTTCTAGATGCTCTACATTTCAAGCTAAGCCTAGAATCTGTATAATTTCTATTTTTTTCTGCTGTTTTAAATTATTTCGATAATCTACTTCTTCTAAATCTAGTTTGTGTCTCTACATACAAGCATATCTAAGCAAATGTTACGTTATGTCTTGTCAGTGGTTGTTACGTCCCTTTGTTATGATTATTATAGTTGCGTCCCTTGAGTCATCACTGGGTCAACTTTTAATGTCGTTGATTAATTTAATTAACATGTTTTTAATTTGGTTTTGAAATCTATTAATTAATAATACAATCAACAACACGTTTAAAAGTGTAAAATATTTATTTTATTTATTAAACTAGGATTAAAACGTATAACACACGATCGTTACGCAAGCCGGTTCAGATGGTCGCAGGGAAAAAAAAAGAGGGGAAAAAAATATCGCAAGTAGCACGTCACTAAAACATGAATATCTCAAATTCAATGCGTAGGAATATAAAATGATTGATACATATTAAGAGTAGAAAGGCAGAGGAATAATATAGTACTTTGGGTTTGTTTCTGTGTTAAACGGTTACAAAATAGCGCCCGATGAAAGTCGGGAGTTCGCTATGTGTGACAGCGCGTGGAACTTTACTCTAGATCTAATCTAGACTAGACTCTAGAGTACTCTAGACTATTCTAGAGTCTAGACTAGTTAATAACTAAAATACTTTTTACTTAGTCATGTCATAGTGTACTGCAGTTTTTTTGCAGTGTTTGGTGCTAGTTCAGTTGGGAGTAAATTACTGAATTTAGCCTAGATCTAGATCAAATAGTTTTTACTTTTTAGTGACTAAGCCAAGCTAGTCAGAAGAAGTAGATCTAGAATCTAGATCTTGTTGAAAGTGAAAGTGGTAGAGTATTTTCTTTCCTCCACTGGCATGTAGACCTAATAATCTTAATAATTAATGCAGGTTTACAATTAATCAGCAATAGATCTACAACTAGTTAGAGGATCTTGTTTTTCTTGTCGTCTAAATTCTAAATTTTCTTTAGGCCTATGTGTTAGACTTTGATTAGAGAGAGTATAGCATGTGACTGTGTTAGGCTCTGTTAGGTTGCCATCAGCTTAAGACATTAATATTAAGAAAATAATTATTAATTAAGATAGGCCCCCTACTAATGGTTGTATCATTGATTCATTATCATGAAAGTATTTGCTGTGTATAGGCATACAGGCTATATGCATAGATCTGATTGTTCTGTCACACCAATAACTTTTCTTAAATTATTAACTAGGAGGCTTAATTAATCAGCCTAACTCGAGTTCCCAATTATATTCCATATAGGCCCTAGATCTAGTTTTATATTTAATTAGACCTAATTTAAAAAAGAAATAACCACAGGTCTTTAATTTTAAAATAAAAGGCTATGACGTATGCTATATGCCTGCACAATTCATATTTAAACCAATGTGAAATCACAGTGACCCTAGCTAGACCGTGTCTGTAATTTTATTGTGCAGACAAAAAAAACGTGAGTGGGCGATCATAAGAGCAACGGCGTTTAGAATTGACATGTTAAAAATCTAAATCTAGAAAAAATATAGAATCTAAAAAAAAAAATTTAAAAAAAATATGCAAAGCAACTATTGAGACTAAGCTACAAACTTAATTGAATACTTTTCTTCTCACACAAATCTGACTGCTTTAGATATACCAGGAACAAGCATAGGGTAATCCCAGTTGAGTAATGTAGCGATGTCTAATTAGGATAATTAGTAAAGGATTGAGATTTTTTTGTCCCTGCTCCTTTTAATTATAGTAGCAATAGGGCTACTCAGTACCAATAGTGATGACATCATGTATAAAAATGTATTTATTATGTGACCTTATTTGGAAGCTGTATAATTTCTTTTTTTATACAGGTAGCTCAATGTAATAATTATAATGGCTCAAATTGCACTGCACTTTGGTCTCATCCATAGTATAAATTACATGGTATTGCCTTGTATAACTAAAAGAATTTGTGTTTACAGTAAAAGATCATGGTTTTTCTATATTGTTCTTCAGTTTATACTTACTAAAGTGAAACTACAAGTTATAGTGGGGTGATATAAAGACATACAAATGTAGCCTTTACTACTCTTTAAGACATTAACTGTAATGCTGCTCCCATTCCTAGTGTCTGATAATATTTTCTCTATTTAATTTTTTGTTTACATTTGTTTCAAATTTCAGGAGTAACCGGTTCACAAAACTATTCTCACTTCCAAGAAATGGAGGAGGATTTAAAAATTTATTTTGTTAAACCTCCTAAAAATGAAGAAAATAATTCTACTCTGACTGAAGCTTTTGAGGTACATGCTCCATAAATTCTGTAGATGTTTTTAAAAGTTACAGAAAAATTGCAATATAATTGTTTGTTTCTGTTGTTTAGTCAACTTATTTTTTCAAGCTAACTTAATTAGACATATGATGGCTTTTTTTTCTATATAAACTCCACTGGCAGATACCAACATATTTAAAACTACATGAATTGCTCAGATGTATTTCTTTTAAATAATGTGTGATAAACACATTTTTTTCCAGACTTTGCGTAAAGCTGAATTTGACTTACAACCAGAATGGATTTCCAGTGAGGACTGTCTTTTAGTTCGTCAAAAAGGGAAACATGTCTACATTTTTGACCAGTTTAAAGGAGAGGCTTTTGATCATTTAAAAGAACTTGGGTTCAGGTTAGTTTTAAATACATGTTTTTATACACGTTTTTTTTTCAAACAATCAGACAATCCCACCTGTGTACCTGCCAAAATAACACTGTTTGTCAATTTTGCTATTGCTACACCAACTCTAAAATGGTTTCACATTTCCCCATTCTTCACATTTTCGATTTTACTTGAGATTAAAAATGTACTGTTTTTAAAAAGCATGTGTGTAACTTCACACATTCTTACCCCCGTCCCATCAACAGGTCTGTGATGTCATTTTATCGCAGTCAGCTTCAGATTACAATTTTTTTTTCTATTCACAGAATTTATGGCCCTCAATGTATTCTGGCCAATCTTCTTCATGGGGAGGTGAGTACCTGTTTCATCTAAATTATGTTTTACAGTGCGTGAGTAATTTAGCGGTTTTTTTAAAGTTAGTATCTCTGATCAAGTTTTTATTACAATTTACTAAAAATTTCTTTAAAAAATACAAAGTAACTGCTAGAATTCAGTATGAAAAATTACTTTTGAAATGCAGAAGTTTGATTGATGACATATCTTCTTGAAAAATTAATTCACATAAGGCTACACCAGCTAAAATAATTTTTAAAAATGAAGCTACAAATAAATTTCATTTTCACTTCACAAAAAAACATTAACAACATTCTATCCGACACTAAGTAAATGGATAATTCAATAGATTTATTAGTATGGCTGAACTTGAATATTATTTATTGATTTATATCATTTAGTTAATAGCTAAGAATAAAATGTGTTTGAGTGATAAAAATGCCTGCTTTTATTAAAAAGGAGTTACCAAGACACAGGAAGAAGCCCATTTACAACTTGGCCATGAAAGATGTGAAAATTTGCTGTACATCCTTGGATAAACCAATAAGGGTAACTTTGTCTTTTATAAACTTGTAAACCATGATAAGAAATAAAGGAGCTCATAAAGGTGATAGGACAAATAATTTCAGGACAAATGATCTCAGGACATGATCTCACGGACCAAAGATACCAGGACAAAGTATATCAGGACAAATGATTTCAGACAAAATATCTCACAACAAAATGTTAATAGTATATACGATGATTTTAGTTAATATGAACTTTTTTTTATTGGCTGTGATATAGTTTTGTTGAGATATTTTTGTTGTTTTGTTGAGATATCTGAGATATTTTGTCTGAGATCATTAGTCATGATAAGAAATGATAAGGAGGAAGAAGCACAACACAATCACTTTTAAAACTAAAACTTTGTTTTATTAGCTAGAAATAAAATACTTGGTAACATTACTGTTCTTATTGTTTCTTGACTGTCTCACACCTACATAATATACAAAAGTAGACATAGAGTTAATTATTCATGTTATCATAGACATGAACTTTTAGGTGGTAATTCTGGTATTTAACCAACATCTGATCAATAGACTTCATAGAACATATATGTTATAGATCAAATATACTTGTCTTAGTTGTGTCTTTTAAAAAATTATGTAACCATTTTTGTTTTAAACTTTAATTCTTTGTTTTAAATATTTTTTAAAGTTTGATTTTTGTGTATGCTCAGAACAAAAATGGTTTATGTAAATTATATTTAGTGGTGTTTTGACAGTTTGTAATTTCTAATTTAGGAGGAAATCATGAACCTTGTGCTGCAGATGGGAGGCAGTGCTGAGAGTGACTTAACTGCTGACTCAACTCACCTGGTGGCAGGTGAAGTGGGCAGTGCCAAGTATTTGGTGAGTGTCACAGTGTTGTGTCACAAGGTAGTGTCAAGTATTTGGTGAGTCTCACAGTGTTGTGTCACAAGATAGTGCCAAGTATTTGGTGAGTGTCACAGTGTTGTGTCACAAGGTAGTGTCAAGTATTTGGTGAGTCTCACAGTGTTGTGTCACAAGATAGTGCCAAGTATTTGGTGAGTGTCACAGTGTTGTGTCACAAGGTAGTGTCAAGTATTTGGTGAGTCTCACAGTGTTGTGTCACAAGATAGTGCCAAGTATTTGGTGAGTGTCACAGTGTTGTGTCACAAGGCAGTGCCAAGTATTTGGTGAGTCTCACAGTGTTGTGTCACAAGGTAGTGCCTAATATTTGGTGAGTTCACAAAGTGATCTGTTACTAACATGACACTAGAATTTAAATTCATACTGAACTGGTTATGTAGCCAGCTTTTAGAGGAGGGCTTGGTTGGGTGGAAGGGCACATAACCCTGTAAGTTTCTATTCTGAGAACATCTGTGGATACATCCAAAATTAAAGATTAGCTGACTTGAGAAAGGGGACAGTAAAGTTGGTGGACATTATACTGACCACACAGTTCCTTCTTAGGCTGATTTTAAACAATACATACATTGTAAATCGTCTGTCCTTCATATAGGGAACTTGATCTCACATGTCAAGTTATTTGTACAATTTAAAAAAAAAACCTTTTGGACCTGACAGTCAGTAGGGCAGGTGAAGTATTCTTCACGTTTCAATGACCCTTATATATTAAGTGATTGTGTTGTCAGTTCTCTGCCCACACACCTACTTTTGCTAACATGAATGAGTTACCTGTCAGAGTTTGGTGTACTCAGGGACATCCTGTATACTGGAGACCAGGGTCCAAACCCAAGACTTTCTCTATCCCCATCTCTTTCTTGTACTATATAGTTATTTCCAGTTATCTGTTTGTGTTTATGACTAATGCTTATATAACCATGGATGTTGAAAGTGTTTAGATCTAACACATTTATGTATCTTTTTTAAAACCAGGTTGCTGTAGATGCAGGAAAGCAAGTTATGGTTAAAGAGTGGGTCTATAAAGTGTGGGAGGCATCCAAAGACAGGTTAGTCTTTTGTTCCTCATTTTATAATTCTTTTGTTTTTCTTTTATCCCTGGGACTGGCTAATTCTTTATGTAAAACTTGCCATTAACATATACTTTTAAACTAGAGGCTCATGCAGTGTGTAATAAACAATTAGACTTGAACACACGGCACTAAGCTCCATTGAAAGTAAGCCTTCAAGCTGAATTTTGTAAAGATGCAAGACAAAGCTATCTTTTAATAAAATAGACCATGAAAAACTTCTATTTTACTTAATTCCCTTCTTATTGGATATGCCCAGTATTAAACTGACTACTTTGTATTGAAATAATTTTTCTTTCTTCTATACTCTATTTTAAATTTAATAATCTAAAACCACAATTTTCTATTTTAATATTTGCTGTTTGATGAAAATTTTAAATCTGCAGATACATCAAAGCAACAGATGATTTGTTTAACAAATATACATGCCCTCCCTTCCATGGGCTGACTATTGTTGTGTCTGGGTTCAGCAGTAGTGAAAGAAATAACATGCGCTCTTTCATCATTAAAGGCGGTATGTAGTCTCATTCACATTTAGGTCTCAGCTATTAATTCTAAATCAATACAAGATCATATTGTTCCACAAACATTAAGCAGAGATTTATTTTTGTGCTTTATTGTGAAGTTAATTTGTTGTGTGTAAATTATTATGTAAATCTCACTAATTAAAACTAACTAGAATAATACATCAATATTATGATTAAAATAATAAAACGCTATAAACATTGTTCATGTACCCATTGTAGGAGGGAAGTACTCAGGTGAGATGAAGATGAACCAGTGTACACATCTGGTGGTCAAAGAGCCTAAAGGTAAACTTATATAAAACCTATATGGCATTTATCAAACCTATTTGTACAAGACTTGTATAAACCTATATGACATTTATCAAACCTATTTGTACAATACTTGTATAAACCTATATGGCATTTATCAAACCTGTTTGTACGTGATTTAGGTGCCCTGACAATATAACCCTAACCTATTTGTACAAGACTTGTATAAAACCTATATGACATTTGTCAACCCTGTTTGTACATGATTTAGGTGCCCTGACAAAATAACCACTGGTCCCAAATTACCACCCCCCACCCCAGTCAAAAGGTCCTAACATTAAGGCTCCAGACTATAGGGCTGCTGAAAAATTTGCTCATGGCATGGGGTTCCTACAATTAGTGTCGTAACATATTGGGTCTTGAAGAAAGGGCTACCACCCACCCACCACACATTCCTGCATCCACAACCAACATCACATTTTTTAAAATGACTGGTAAAAATAATAAAGTTGCAAGCAGTTTATTTCAGAGGCACATTTTTTATTAAAACATACTTCTTTATTAAAATGTCAAAATAATACACAAATTAGTCAAAGTAATTTTGCTCATCAATAGATTTTTATGTTATTTTTTGTTGAACAATGTGGTTTACCATACTTTTAAAATAATATTTTTTTTCAACCTTTTATTTTCTGTTAAAGCAGATAATAATTATTATTCCCTTGACAAACATTTAGGTGCCAAATTTGAGGCAGCCAGAAGTTGGCAGATAAAAGTTGTGAATGACCAGTGGTTATTTGATTGTATAGACAAGCAAAGATACCTGGACCCCAACCCATACCAGTTTAATGTTAGCAAGCAGAGGAGTGACGTCAAAACCTCCACCCCCGAGAGAAGAACCTGTAATTTTTTACCTTTTTTCTTTCAATATTAGTCTGTAGATAGACAATTTAAATTTGACTAATCTTATTAAAGCTTTTTTGTTCTATAAATCACTAAGGTTACGTCTCATTTGTAATGTTTCTTTTCTCTTCAATTATATTTAACTATACAATTTAAATTTTACTAAGCATATTCAAGTTTTTTTTTTTTTGCTATAAATCCCTACAGTAATGTCTCATTTGTAATGTTTTATTTTTTTCTTCAACTATGTGTAATAGATACACAATTAAAATTGTACTAATTAGAACAGTTTTTTAATACTATGAGTTACTTCAGTTATGGCTCTTTTGTAATATTTATTTTTCTTCAATCCAATCAGCTCTTGGGCCAAATATATCTGACATAAGTGCTATATCAAATGCTGGACCAAACTCCAGTATGCTGAGGGTGGACGAAACCACAGACCTGACATCCACACGCATGTCCAGCATGTTCCACAGCAAACATGTCACCATTGGTGAGACAAGGATGGGGACAACCACTGTTGATGGTGACACCACCATAACACCAGCTGATGTCTTTCTTGATGGATGCAGGGTGAGGAGTCTTGTTTTTGTGATGCTTGGATTATTTCTGTGGGATAGATGTGTAGGGTAATAGAGGGGTGGCTATATTATGTTGTAGAGGGATCTTCCTTATGTAGCGAAATGGCTACCTTATGTTATAGAGGGATGGCTACATTATGTTGTAGAATGATGGCTACCTTATGTTGTTATGTTATAGCGGGATGGCTTCCTTATGTTGTTATATTGCAAATGGTATGCTTACCTATGTTTTAGATGGATGGCTACAGTATTGTAAATATTTGTAAGCAAATGGTTGCTATTCTGTTTTGTGTAGAGGATACAATGAGTATGTTGAATTTACTTTGAATTAATGTCAACTTGTTGCCTTGCTAGATTTTCCTAAGTGGAATAAAGCCTGCTGTTGAAGAAAAAATGCGGAAAATTATATCTGCTGGTGGAGGTCTAAGGTAAGCATTTTTTAAAGTATATACTTCCTGCTGCTTGTTTTAGAATATTCTGTTGCTGTTATGTATTTTTTCTCGTTATGTTACTAATTAATTTTGTAAAGAAAAGCTAGCTCTCCACATATTATCATGTTAAATTACATGTGTACTCTTATTGCTATATTTCTTACTTTTTTAAATATATTTATTTATATATTTTTAAAGAGCCACCGAGATAACTGAGGGCATCACTCATGTTGTGATTGGAGATGTTGTTTTACCACACATGACTCTGATCAACAAACTAGAAGAAAGGTAAGAGTTATTGTTATTTGATCTGTCTACAACATTATTAGGGATAAGACTGTTCTGTTCAAGCAGAAATACTGAAAGTTATAATTAAGTCAGTATTGTCAAAATAAATGTTTATTTTTATAGAATTGAATAAAATTTCAATTAAAACACATTTTAAAAAATCTAACAATTATGCTTATTTATTTAGAGAAAGTATTTTGAAAGTACTGGCTATTTTAAAATTTTAGCAAGTACAAATTTGGAACTGTAGATTTTGGTTTCATTTCATTTATAGTTTTTAAACATTGACTGATCTAAATATGTAGTTTGATAAGGATTTATTATGATATAAATTTGTTTAAAATCTTTAAAAGATTTATTGTGATCTAAAAATGTTTTAAATCTTAAAAAAATTTAATGTGATCTAAAAATGTTTTAAATCTTAAAAAAAATTTATTGTGATCTAAAAATGTTTTAAATCTTAAAAAAAATTTATTGTGATCTAAAAATGTTTTAAATCTTAATATCACAGCCCCCACATTGTGTCAACTGATTGGTTGATGGATTGCTTCCACCAGAACAGCCACGTCAATGAAGAGAAATACCAGCACAGAGAAGCTGCTCTAACCAAACAGGGCACATCTGGCAAGTGAGTGGGAGTTAACTTAATTGATGGGTGGTGGTAAGCTTGGTGGCATGTTTATCTCTTTTCTCATGGAAATTTGTTTATATTGGCAAGAGTCATTTACCATTTTGTGTACAAAAACACAAAATATATAAAACATATTCTATGAAAACAGGAAGAAATGATTTAAAACTGTTTTTCTATCTTGTAAACATGAAAGAGCAACACCATATTTTTTAAAAAAGTTTTTTTAAAGATTTGATTTAAGAAATATTTAAGAATTACAGAACAGAAATTAAAACATCAACAATCTCAGAAGATAGGATTATACATCTAAATTTTTAAATAAAGTTTTATATAGTGTGAGATTTCAAGAGTACACAAAATCTACACTGTGTTTTTCATTGGATCATTAAAAGTATTTTTCAACTTTTATTATTATTTAAACTAAATCTAAATTAAATTCTTTTCATCCCAGTACTTACATTTTATGTACTTAGTTAATAATCCATGGTTGTGTTCTTTATGTGTATGATGTTCATAATCATATGTTAGAATCGACTTTGATTTTCAGATTAAAGAAAAGTAACAACAAAAGAGCACCGTCAGAATTCCCAAGGAAAGATAAAAATGAGGACAAGAATAGTAACGATGTCAGCAGTTCAAAAACATCACAGGCTGCTGGGGCCTTTTCAATCGAAGCTGCAAGTGACCTGGAAATGGCAGAATTGCTGAGTCAGTACATGGACCCACCTGTAGAATCTAGAGGTAAACAATTTTTTTTTAGAAAGTGTAAAAGGTATTTTTGTTAAAGTTTTCAAGGCAGTGACAGGTGATTTACCTGTAGTCTAGCAAAATAATGAACAATTTACAACGTTCATCAAAAACAAATTTCTTTCATCTTAACATAGACACATACTTTTTCTAAATTAGTTAACTTCTTTTTACTACTCGTGCTAAATGATGCACATGATGTGAATCACTTAAGTAGGGAGGACGAAAATAAGAATGAAGCCAAAATAAATATACCCTGCAACAATTTTAATTTCCGTGGCAGTTAATTTTGTTTTATGCTAGCAAATTCTGTTCAGTTAAATGTGGTAGTATTTTAATAATAATATACAGATTCTTGTTGGGTAATGCATCTATTTTATTAAAATGTGACCCTCTTTGATAAAACTAGTCACTTTGAGCGAATTTTTGCTAGGGCTGGACATAGGATAAATTGTTGACATTTCTGTAACCTTGACATTGATGTAATGTGGACCTGTTCCCAGACACAGGGAAACAAAAACAGTTTGACACAGACAGCGAGGTTCAGATCCTTGGAGTGGATCTCCTCAAGGCTGGAAGGGCATCTGAACAACAGAAGCCATCCCAGGAGGAAGAGCTTATGACACAGGACCCTAATGGTGAGTAGTGGTTTGGGGGAGGGGGGCATCTGAACAACAGCAACCATCCCAGGAGGAAGAGCTCATGACACAGGACCCTAATGGTGAGTCGTAGTGTGGGGGAGGGGAGGTCGGACATCAAAACAACAGCAACCATCACAGGATGTAGAGGTCAAGACACAGGTCCCTAATGATTATGTAATATACCTACTACCAGCAACATAAATCTAATTGTAATTCTAATTGAAAAGCAGCGCTTTCATACTTCAAATCAATTAATACTATGACCCATACAACAAACAAAATAATGAAGTTTCTTTTTTTTTTTGCATGTTAATGTTGATGCTTTTTAGGTGCACAGTCAAAATTGCCGGTGATAAATTATTTCTGATAAATAGGCCCCCTGCCAAAACTGCCCAGTCAAAATAGTCCTGACAAGGGCCACTACTTTTTGGCTCCCAACAAATGAGTTCCCGACATTTTGTCTATCGACATATTGACCCCCGACATTGTCTCTATCGACATATTGGCTCCCGACATATTGGCACCCAACATATTTACTCCAGACAAATAAACAAATAAACTGTATGACATTTTTTGGCAAAGATGTAAGCATTTATCAAACCTATTTGTACAAGACTTGTAAGCATTTTATCCAACCCAACAACACGCAGTTCTTATCTCCACTTCCACCATAACCACTTTTAACTTCATTAACCAACAGCAATTTATAAACAAATCCAACTCTTAAGAGCGAAGTGCCAATAAATTAAAGAATTTTGATGTTTTATCCCAATGAAAGCTTGTTACTTAAAAGATAGCACAGAAGTTTAAATGTATGAAATAGGCTTCAGGACGTTTTGTTTTGATAACCTACAAGCATTGTCTCTGTAGTAACCACATGGACAGGGGTTCTCTTGTTGAGAATCCTAATGACTGGAGCCAAAATGATGGGCGGCTATTTGTTGGGAGATGTAATGATTGGTGCCGTTTTGTTGAGAGAGTCATATTGACAGGAACCTGTTTATTAGGAACCTATACCGTGGGGTCCATTTGTCGCTGGCCCTTTTGATAGGTTTGATATGACTGGGCTCTTTGGTTAGGGCCATTTTGTATTTATACTATCAACAAAAGTTGTATGTCAATTCTCTCTGTGCTAAAATATGTTATGTTACTAATTTTTTCAATACCTAACACTTTTTATTGTTCTCTACAGAAAATGAAGATGTGGATGGAGACAGGGGAATATTTTTCAGAAAAACTTTTATAACCCGAGGTTTTGATGAAGAGGAAACTGCTCAGCTTAAAGAATTTATTGAACAAAAAGGAGGTAATAACCCTGTCACTAAATTTTTTTTTTTTTCAAAAAGAGATCATTAGTTAGGGTAAATATTATCAATTAAGGTAGTAATTAGATTGAAAGAGCTTTAAAAAAAATTTTTTAATCTTGTATGGAACTTTTAGATGGGATCTTGCAGGGCTTTAAAAAAAAACCTTAAATCTTGTGTGGTACTTTCAGGTGTGGTCTTACAGAGCTTAAATAAAAACCCTTAAATCTTGTGTGGTACTTTCAGGTGTGGTCTTACAGAGCTTAAAAAAAACCTTAAATCTTGTGTGGTACTTTCAGGTGTGGTCTTACAGAGCTTAAATAAAAACCCTTAAATCTTGTGTGGTACTTTCATGTGTGATCTTACAGAGCTTAAAAAAAACCTTAAATCTTGTGTGGTACTTTCAGGTGTTGTCTTACAGAGCTTAAAAAAAAACCCCTTTAATCTTGTGTGGTACTTTCAGGTGTGGTCTTGCAGAGCTTAAAAAACCTTAAATCTTGTGTGGTACTTTCAGGTGTGGTCTTGCAGAGCTTAAAAAAACCCCTTAAATCTTGTGTGGTACTTTCAGGTGTGATCTTACAGAGCTTAAAAAACCTATAATCTTGTGTGGTCTTACAGAGCTTAAAAAAAACCTTAAATCTTGTGTGGTACTTTCAGGTGTGGTCTTACAGAGCTTAAAAAAAACCTTAAATCTTGTGTGGTACTTTCAGGTGTTGTCTTACAGAGCTTAAAAAAAACCCTTTAATCTTGTGTGGTACTTTCAGGTGTTGTCTTACAGAGCTTAAAAAAAACCTTAAATCTTGTGTGATACTTGCAGGTGTGGTATTGCAGAGCTTAAAAAAAATTAAATCTTGTGTGATACTTTCAGGTGTGGTCTTACAGAGCTTAAAAAAGCGTCAGATCCCAGACATTGCCATTGTTCCATTGCTTGGGTTCCCAGTGGAGGTCACTGTGTCAGAGATTCTCACAAATGCTTGGCTGGTAAAACATTGTGTGCCTGTGGTCGTTCTTGTATAGGCTAATGTATTTAACAAAACAACAGATGTTGAATGCTGATTTATTATTGTATTTTACTGTTTGTAATTTTACCTATTGTATTTTACTGTTTGTAATTTTACCTATTGTATTTTACTGTTTGTAATTTTACCTATTGTATTTTACTGTTTGTAATTTTACCTTTTGTATTTTCCCAGCAAATGTGTATGGAATTTGATTCACTACTACCTTATGATGATAACTGGTTGTCAAGGCCTTTGGAACTACCAGAGAATGAGCCACTGTCAGGCTGTTGTGTCAGTGTCAGGTAATGTCAGGATGTTGTGTCAGTGTCAGGTAATGTCAGGCTGTTGTGTCAGTGTCAGGTAATGTCAGGATGTTGTGTCAGTGTCAGGTAATGTCAGGCTGTTGTGTCAGGTAATGTCAGGCTGTTGTGTCAGGTAATGTCAGGCTGTTGTGTCAGTGTCAGGTAATGTCAGGCTGGTGTGTCATTTAATGTCAGGCTGTTGTGTCAGTGTCAGGTAATGTCAGGCTGTTGTGTCAGGTAATGTCAGGCTGTTGTGTCATTTAATGTCAGGCTGTTGTGTCAGTGTCAGGTAATGTCAGGATGTTGTGTCAGTGTCAGGTAATGTCAGGCTGTTGTATCAGGTAATGTCAGGCTGTTGTGTCAGGTAATGTCAGGCTGTTGTGTCAGTGTCAGGTAATGTTAGGCTGTTGTGTCAGTGTCAGGTAATGTTAGGCTGTTGTGTCAGTGTCAGGTAATGTTAGGCTGTTGTGTCATTTAATGTCAGGCTGTTGTGTCAGTGTCAGGTAATGTCAGGATGTTGTGTCATGTAATGTCTGGCTGTTGTGTCATGTAATGTCTGGCTGTTGTGTCAGTGTCAGGTAATGTCAGGATGTTGTGTCATGTAATGTCTGGCTGTTGTGTCATGTAATGTCAGGCTGTTGTGTCAGTGTCAGGTAATGTCAGGATGTTGTGTCAGGTAATGTCAGACTGTTGTGTCAGTGTCAGGTAATGTCAGGCTGTTGTGTCAGTGTCAGGTAATGTCAGGCTGTTGTGTCAGTGTCAGGTAATGTCTGGATGTTGTGTCAGTGTCAGGTAATGTCAGGATGTTGTGTCATGTAATGTCTGGCTGTTGTGTCAGTGTCAGGTAATGTCAGGCTGTTGTGTCATTGTCATTTAATGTCAGGCTGTTGTGTCAGTGTCAGGTAATGCCAGGCTGTTGTGTCAGTGTCAGGTAATGTCAGGCTGTTGTGTCAGTGTCAGGTAATGTCAGGCTGTTGTGTCAGGTAATGTCAGGCTGTTGTGTCATTTAATGTCAGGCTGTTGTGTCAGTGTCAGGTAATGTCAGGCTTTTGTGTCTTGTAATGTCAGGCTGTTGTGTCTTGTAATGTCAGGCTGTTGTGTCTTGTAATGTCAGGCTGTTGTGTCAGGTAATGTCAGGCTGTTGTGTCAGGTAATGTCAGGCTGTTGTGTCATTGTCATTTAATGTCAGGCTGTTGTGTCATTGTCATTTAATGTCAGGCTGTTGTGTCATTGTCATTTAATGTCAGGCTGTTGTGTCAGGTAATGTCAGGCTATAGTATCATGGAATGTCAGTCTGTTGCATCATTTAATGTCAGTCTTTTATGTCTATTTTAGCTATCGTCATATTGTAGTGTCAATGTGTAATATAATTCTAAATTTCCACCTTTATTTCAGCGGCTATGTAAATATTGAACGTGAATGTATAATGCATCTGGCCCAATCATTAGGAGCCAAGTAAGTTTTACCAACACTTGTTTGATATAGCCTCTAGAGAAACCCATGGTTTTTACTTCCTATTTCAATTGTATGTATCTCTAACCATAAGTGAGCGCTCAAAAAACCCTGAGCTAGAACTCATGAGCAGATGAGACTTGTTAGCTGGGGAAAGCAGCCCATTTAGGAGACAAAACTCCAAAATCAAACAGGAGCCCCTTTGGCGGTTCGGATTACGAATTTTGGTTTCCTTTCGACAGCTTCTGCTACCCAAGTTGTTACCAAATGTAATCCAAAAGGTAGAGAGAGAAATCACAATGCATGTGCAGCTCATGATTCCTTCATTCGATACCCTAGTACATGCCTTTAGGATTTTACTTCTGTGGGCACTTGCATTCTCTTGCAAGGCAAAACAGATCTTTTAATTTTAACTGCACCACAACCTTATTACCAGCAGAGACCATGAAATTTGATACCTATTGTTATTTCTAAAATACCTTTAAATACCATTTAACTAAGGTCCCTTCTGACTTTACTTTAATTCTTGTCCTAACGCATAATTCGACATTTTTATCTAACCTAAAATGAAGAAGAACACTTTATCATACAATAACCATTTACTGCATGTATAAAATTTGTCATAAACTAATGCCTTAATGTAACTGAATCTTACTCTAACAGTAACCTTGCTTAGAAAATCCTTAAGCTAATTTTTAACTAAACTCTATATTGTCCCAAACTACCTAAATAAGAATTATAAAAAATAGTTTAGAACTTAAATTGTTTTAAAGCAATAATTTTTTAAAATCTATTTTTCTATTCAAAATTTACAAAAAAAAAATTATTTTAATACTTAAAGCCAACATTTATTTCAAAAGGATAAAAACTCGTATTTTTAATTCATTATTAACTACAGATAGAGCTTATACACTGTTTCACACTGATTAACAACATGTAAAATATAGTATGTACCCACTATTATAGCCAATGGTGTGTCAAAAATGAATCAATTTTGGTGTAGAAATCTAAACAACTCAATTGACAAAACTAAAGTGTTATATGTTAGACTCAGTTCTTTGATTACATCTTACCTCCAACTGGTTGCCTTACAGAATATTAATAGCTGTAAAAGCAGCAACATATTTTGTTTACTACAACTTTCATATTTCACAAAGCTGTGCTCATGTTTCAGTTGCCAGGACCACTTTGCCAGGAAATCCAGTAAAAATGTCCAAGCCAGCACACACCTCATAGTTAACCACCCAAGTGGCTCCAAGTATGAGGCAGCCAAGAAATGGAAGATACCTGCAGTGGGGAAAGAGTATGTTCAACCTTTTATGTCACATTTTTTTTATCATTTTTAATAAACCGTATAAAATAAATTTTAAAATAAAAAATTAACTTTATTTTAAATTTAAAAAAAAAAGTTATAAAATAAAATTTTGAAATAGATGAAATACAAATTTAAATAAATAAAACAAAAATTTAAATAAATTAAATAAAAATATAAAAATAAAATAAATTGTAACTTAATAAATAAACTTAAAATTTTAGATAATTATAAAATTAAACAGGAAGAAAAGATTTCAATCTATGAAATAAAATAACGTATACTGAATACAAACTTGCAGCTGGCTTTTAGCGTGCATACGTTCAGGTCGTCGAGAAGCAGAGGACGAATATTCTATTGAAGCTATACTAGAGAGGGAGGAGAGGAAGTTAGCTGAACTGGCTGAAGAGAAAAGGTCCTCATCCTCTTCACTCCCCACACCACCCAAGGTGAACCGCAGCTGTGTGAGTGATGATGTGTTTGTTGGTGAGGCTGTGGACACCAGCAAGCAGAGTGACAAGAGTGGAGGCAGGTCTGCGTCAGAGGATGCTGGCATAGGAGAACAGACCACATTAGATGTTGCTGGCGTCAGACGACAGATTACGTTAGAAGATGCAGGTGTTGAAGGAGGAATGACAGAAGATGCAGGTGTTAAAGGAGGAATGACATTGCAGGAGATAACACTAGCAGCAGAGGTAAATTCATGTCAATTCCAGGGATGCCATTTTCTATTGTCCTGTAATTCTAGCTGTTTAAACCATATTTTTATCTGCAGATTTGCAAATTTAGACTAAAAATGTCTGGCTTTGCAGTTTAAGTATAACTGTTATAGTATGTCATGATATTTGTAGCTCATATGAGCTGGTAATTTACTCTCTCTGTTGTTGCTGGTGCTTATGTAGCATTTAAAGTGTATTTTCATCAGCACACAGCAGTGTGGTTAGAGACTAGACAAAAAAAAAAACAACCATGACATAATTGGTGGACTTAGCTCATCTGTGAAATTATCTTGTTAAGGCGACCATACACAACTGAGTAGAAACAATTTAAAAGATGCTTTAATAACATATAGGGCTAGTGGTGTCCTATACATTGTCAGTGTTATTTAACATTCCTCTCTTCATTTGGATAATGAGGCTTTTAGACAATACATACAGATTTTTTTTTGTACATAAACTTGCACAATAATTTTTTTTTTTTGTAAAATAAGAAAAAATGGAAGTTTGGAGGGGAGGGTTGACATTTTTGGAACCTAGAAAAAATAGGGGTTTAAAAATGTGATGTACTTAATTTAAAAAAATGATCATTTAAAAAGGAGTTTACATTCACTGCCTGTCACCACTTGCAGGGGTATGGGCCGTCTATTTTTTTTCTTCACCCCATTGCACATTAAATTCTTCCAAACAACCACTTTTTGTTGCTGTCCCTAAATTTTTTCTCTACATTGAATTGTTTGAGCTGCCTTCATATTTCAAAAATCATTTCATTTATTGACTTGTTTAATTAATTAAGCCAACATTCCTTATGATCAGTGCTTCTGTATGCTGTAGGCCCAAGATCATATGTCAAAGTTCCGTATGTTCAGTATATCTGTGTATGTTGAAGGGTTATGTGTCAACAAATTATGCTCTGTATGTCGTAGGCCCAGGAGCATGTATCAGCATCCTCCTCTGAAAGCTGTGGACCAACAGCTAAACCTGACGCTGCCTACTTGCCAAAGCTCCACCACCACCTGACCACTGGCCAGTCCTCTAGCGCCACCAGAGACAGGAAAAGTGCATGCCAACCAAACCAAAGTGAAAATATTTCAGCAGGCCTGGTCAAGACTCCAGTCAGCGTCCTCAGACAGAAATGGGTTCGCATCTACTTTTTCATTTGTCAGATAAACTTTGGTCATTTTAAAAGAAATCAGCTACTTTTTTAATTAGTGATTTTTATAAAAAAGTATTTGAATCTCATTTGAGAAGAAAAATCACATGTTACTCATTGTTAGAAAACATAACTGCTAAGTCACATTTGTGGATTATACAAAGAATGTAAAAGCCAGTGAGTCATCCAACATTCTAACCAACATAAATATGGTGTTGAAAAAAAAAAAAGAAATCTTACCCAGATTTGTATAACCTTGCTGTAATTCAACCAGCCCCTCCATACCCTCTCTTTGAGTTATGTAAGTAGTCAATCTCTACTTGCCATTATTGTCAGTTGTTTTTTTTTCCTTTATTTTATATCAGGCGATCCTTGTCTGTCGTTCATTATATTAAGAGCATACAGTTCAATATATTTAATTAGTACACTCAAGACAGCTAGAACAAACCAGTCAAGATACAAATTCAATTTTTTGTACAACTTCACAATAACAAAACACTTTAGCTAAAACAACTGTGAATATTGTAAATGCAAAATTGTATTATGGACAACACTATACAACACTAATGTATTAAAGTCTTGGAGTAGAATCTGGCAAGAATATGATAACATAGCAAGACTAAATATAGCACCCAATCAGCTCATTAAAGCTATAATCAAATGGGCAAGTACATCTAAAGCTCATGTACATATCTTCCTTTGGCCTGCAAACAAGGAATAGAGCTGTTCATCAACCCATCCTCTCTGTATCTCTACAGCCCATGGTGGCTTTGGCCTGCACACAGCCATTCCCCTCTCACATTTGTCCAGTCTTTCTTCCCTGTCAATCTCTCTGTCTGTATTAGAGATGATTTATAAGGGAGTAGTTTAAAAAGTAGTTAGTTAAATTTGAATTTGTTTTTCAGGGTGAGAATGTGCCAGTGAACAGCCCATTAACTCCCCTAGGCCTGACTAAAGGTGGGCTGGAGACACCAGGGACCTTCATGCAGCCTGGTTTCAGGCCAAAGTTTAATTTAGATGTGAGTTTAGAGTTTGTATGATGCCATGTAGGGCTTTTTCACTTAGATGTGAAATAATTTAATTTTTTTTTTAATTTGGAACTATTTTTATTTAAAAACAATAATTCTTTTTTTCCCAAGGGACTCTTTGACAGTCCAGATGTTTCAGTGGACCTCAACAAATCAACAGTAAGACATTTATTACAATTTGTCTCAATATTTGATGCTGTGAATCAGATTTTTCACTGACACACTTTGATCATGTTAAACTGTTTGCTTAGTATTAATTTTTATAGCTCTCGGCTGTTAGTTTTCTCATTGAATTAAGTCAACCATTTTAAATGTTTGATTGATAAGAAAATTTTATTTCCTTCAGCCGTTGGGAGAAATCTTCAGACGCCAGATCACCAAAGCTGCCCAGGTGGCAACAGCTCAACACTCCAACACAGCTGACGTGGTTGATGACCGGATGCCAGCCAGCCAGTCCCAGGCTAGTATTTAACTAGGTCACTGTATCATAGGTACTGTCAATTATCTAATCTGTATTCAACACAGCTCACGTGGTTGATGACCGGATGCCAGCCAGTCCCAGGCTAGTATTTAACTTGGTCACTGTGTATTATAGGTACTCTCAATTATCTGTTCCTGAATTAACACAGGGTGTGAGTGATACAGAGATCATTGTGTATCAAAGATACTCTTAATTATCTAAAATCTTTACGGTAACAAAGGTTACCCTATTAGACCTTATGATCGATGAACAGAAGAAGTAGAGTTCACTTGTTTCTATGCTTTTGGTATGTAAAGGGATAGTGTGGTCAGCATTATGCCCAGCCATCTTTACTTCCCTTGTCAGAGCTGGGTGGACTCAGGGACATTCTATGGACTTGAGCCAGGGATCTGAACTTGAGACTTTCAGGTTAGCTGTCCTGTGCTCTACCTCCCCATCAATCAATACAAGATGATGTCAGCAATATTGACAAGTCATTGTATATCATAGAAGCTGTCAATTATCTGTAATGAATATAAGATGAAAGCATTATTGTCAGGTATACCAATTATCTAGAATAATTACAAGATGTAAGCAATATTGACAGGTATATCATAGCAGCTGTCAATTATATATAATCTGTGCTGAATGCAAAAGAAACTTGTTACAATTCTAGTCACAAATTACAATTAAAACTTTTTTGTTTCCAGTCTGACGAGTTAGCACCTCTACATGGCGTAGTGATAGCCGTGGCAAAGAAGTTGGGGCGCAGTCATGAACAGTACAACAGTATAGTGGTTGAGCTAGGGGGAGACTACTCATGGCACATTGGACCCCAAGTCACCCACTTTGTCTTTCAGGTTCTCATCAGTTTGATACTTCAGCATTCTTTAAGACATTACTTTAAGACATTACTTTAAGACATTACTTTAAGACATTACTTTTAGACATTTACTTTAAGACATTACTTTAAGACATTTCTTTAACCAATGTTCTGCCAATTTAATAAGACATGGTTTTGTTTTCTTAAGTCTCAATCATGTTGAATATGTAAGAATAGCTTTTTTGAGGACATTTTCTAAATTTTTCTTTCAGGGGAGACCAAATGACATAAACAAAGAGTTCCGTAAAGCTAGAGATGAAGGCAAGATAATTGTCTCACCATATTGGCTGCACGCTGTAAGATTTTTATCAAATTTACTTTACAAAATACACAAGTGTACACACTTGTTTTGTTGCCACACACAAGGTTTTGTTATTATATGATAGTAGGATTGTGCTTTGGTTTATTTCAAAATGTATTTGACCATTATTTCAGTGTAAAGAACAGAACTGTAGAGTTGATGAAAGCTTGTTCCCACAGAATTACAACCCCAATTTCAGCCTGGTAAAAATAAATTTTTTAAATACATCAAACAGATTTTTTAATTTAAACTAAATACACTATTCTGTCTGGGTTTTGTTTTAATTTTTAGAGTATTTGTATAATAAACTCATTCCATGCTGAGTACTTAATTTCCTTAACAAAGGAGTATGTAAAACGAGCTGACCCGCGCAGTAAGCATACACCGCTATTTAGTTGTATTATTTTCTACTTTTTATTGATTCATAATTTATTAATTCAACACTACCAATGCTGCGACTGAAAATACTTTGCTTTAACACAGTAGCTCAAAAATGTCGATTATCCTCACCCTAACCCCGCCCCCGTGAGAGCAGCTGTCCGTGACGACAGTGTACTGACGACAATGGAAAGATCAAGCAGATTGTGTTATTAGCTCCCCTTAGTTTCAACTCGTTTAAAAACTAAATTATCTGCCCATAATGGCCGTAACTAATTCGACCCGGTTCTATGATTGTAAATATTCGACGTGAACCACAGCTCACCATAATTGACTGGTGTGGGTGAGGGTGGTAGCTCTATGCCTAGAGAGCAGGGGAGTAGCGGCGTGCGTTTACGTGGTGTCTTGCATGGTCTCCATGAAGAGAATTATATATTTAGATTGTTGGGACAAGAAGTACAAAATTTTTAAAAAATCAGTATATTTGTTGTATAAAATAATTGAGCCAACTCCTACTTAACTAAGAATTGTTTTCTATTTGTCTGTAGACCTTGACTCCAGGTCTCAAGTCCACGCCCATGAGAAGCACCAGAGCCTCGGCTAAGACTTTAACCAAGTCAGATGTTATGGCCAAATGTGAGGCTGGGCCCCCTGTCAGAACCCCAGCCAACAGGATGCCAGTACTTAACCTGGAGAAAGTTGGCCAAGCTGGGGAACAGAACAAAACCAAGTCAGATGTTATGGCCAAATGTGAGGCTGGGCCCCCTGTCAAGACCCCAGCCACCAAGATGCCAGTACTTAACCTGGAGAAAGTTGGCCAAGCCGGGGAACAGAACAAAACCAAGTCCCCAGTCCTTGTGTTACAGAAGGTTGATTCAGTCAGTGAGCTCAGCACTTTCTCAAGCACAACACTGGAGGATGTGTCTTTACAAAGGTAGGTCACTTTGGTATCAAAGGTCAAGGGTTTTACCCAGGTAAGTAGTCTTAAGGGTCAAGGGTTTCACCCAGGTAAGTACAGACTGTTTTCAGGCATGATAGGCTGTAAGAAGATGATGTAAAGTTTATCTGGGCCTGTGATCTAGGAAAATTGAGAGTAGAGTACCACTTCATGGGGCAGGTGAAGTAGAGTTAACCAGTTTTGGTGACAAATGAAAGGGATAATGTGGTCAGCACTATGCCCAGCTACCTTAACTTTCCCTAATGTGAGTCAAGGTACCCATCAGACCTGGCTGGACTCAGGGACGTCCTACAGTCTCGAGTCCAGAATCCAATTTCAAGACTCTCAGGTTATCAATTGAATGCTCTACTACTCAACCATGCTGTTCCTGAGGTTTATATTTATTTTTTTCTGTTCTATTCTCCCAGGAAAGAAACAAAAGATTCTGATCTAATGGATGAAAATGAGGTTTGTATTTGTTTCCCAATTCATCCCAAATGTATCCTGTTTTTTATATACTCAATAAGATTTGTTCAAAAAAGTTTACACATGGTTTGCTTAGAGTTCTAACCCAATGCTTGTAGTGTTAGTTAGGTATTTAAGTTTTTAGTTATACTTTGGTAGTTTTGGGTAGTTGATATTTTTTACCACAAAGTTAAAGCTGGTTTAAGTAACATTAGAATTTGAGAGAGTATTTGAAAAAGAGGTAAACATTTAGATTTTGAGATAGTATTTGAAATAGAGGTAAACATTTTTTTTAGTTGGGTAAAAAGAGGTTGGGAAGACTGAGGTTCAAAAATGTCAAAGATATTATAATGTTACAAAATGTAAAAGATTATGCTGTTACAAAATATAAAAGTTTATAAAAAAAAACTATAAAACAGGATGCCAGCAAACACCAGGAAATGAAAGAAGAACTAGCAAAAACAATGGGGAATATCCTAGCTAACCCATCCAGGTAAATATATTCTACAAGGCTAATCTCTAGCCATAATTTTCTTTGGACATAGATTACTTCACTTAACTTCATATTAAGAAATTCCTTTAAATTTAATTAACTACAATTATTTGTTTGTTTCCATAACCTTGCCATTTTGTGTATGTTTAGGTCCAAAGCAAATAATAGAAAGAAAGGCAGGAGAGCAAATTGTAAGTACTAGCAGTTTAAAATTATAAAGGTACAACTGTTTAATGTTTTGTATGTGTAGGGCTAATTCAGATTTCAGTGAGTTAGCTTTCCCCACCCTTTTGTTTCTAATGAGCAGTTAAACTGTGATCATCAACAAAATGTCTTTGAATCAAGTTCAAGTAAATCCACCCAATTTATCATTAATCCCAATTACTGTACCCTTTTATACCTGAACATCCTCATGCCATATAACAAAGAGCTGATCTGTTTCTTTGATATTGGCAAATGGTAGAGATTGTGTTGTCAACACTCTTGTCATATACTTTTTTACTTTCCCTAACTAATGCCAGTACCCATAACACCTGGATTTGCCCAGGGAGTTCCAATAGGGTTAAGCCTTAAGCCAAACTTGTGACACTTAGGTTAGCAATTGAGTGCTTTAAATTTTTATCCATCAATCCCCTTTTGGCATGTATTGAAAAGTTTACCAGGATTTGGTTTAAAGTTCTTCAGTCTGGATATTTCCTTTGTGTTATTGTATTTCCTAACCCAATGTTTGTTTGATTTTAGTGAGTGGTCAGATGGTCAGTGACAGTTCAGACAGTGATCTGGTCAGAAGTGGAAATACCTCGCAGTCAAACAAAAGTTGGTTGTTTTTGTTTACATTTTTTAGTTTATTTATAGCTGCAAAATTTAATAAGAACATTGCCATTATTTTAAGACAATGCTTCTAAAGATGTTTACTTGTAACAGTTTTTGTAAAATTGTTAGCATACTTGAATAAACATGTGGAGTCTATGTAGCTGTCATGTTTGCATACATACTGTTGACTTGATTTTAAAAAAATCAGTATTGGTCTCTGTCACAGCCCTTTTGTATGACTGGGTTCATGGCACAAACTAAAGGCAAATACAAACCACATTATTGGTGATTTTACGGTCTTTTATTGATATCAGATAATATAGCAGCTACACTACTAGAACCACGACTTCAGTTCGTCATCCGCTCGCGCTCTCTCTACCCCTCTCTGCTTCCTTTCCTTAGCGCATGCGCACACCCATCCTATATTTTATATTCATATCGCCTTTTTAAAATACATACTCGAAACATATATTCATCTACATTTAACTGTTACAGTCTCATATTTCTCTAGATAGCCTGTTTTGATACCACTTCTAGCCTCAATATCATTCTACAATCACATTGAATCAATTTTGTTACAGCTGCCCCTTTAGAACCTTCACAAAGTCTTCAGATCACATGGGATGATCCCACTGAAAGGTACATTTTTATATTCTTCATCCATTACAAAGTTGCTCAACTTTTCTATTTGGTTTAATGTTTTTTATATGCAGATACTGATAATGTAAAATGTTTTTGAAATAATTATAACTGCCCAATGTTTTATGGAATTGTGTGAAGGCTTGAAAAAGTGAGGCTAGCCCACCAGCTGGGGAGAGTGAGTGAAACAAGCCAGAACACAGAGGAACTTATGGCAGCCATGGACATACCTTTTGAGACGACGTCCACCTCTGGCCAGGTCAGTGGACCACTTGACTTGCTAGCTGTAAATAGTTGTTTTTTTGTTTAGGTGGTTTGGTAAGTTGCAGGTGTTAATAGGATTTATTTTTATGTAAGCTTTTAAATGTTTGAGTTTTAAATTCTGTTAAGTTTTTTAGTTGTATGGCTTAAACTTTGTTGACTTTTAGGTTTTTGATAGGGCTTTAAAATTCGTAACAATTTTAGTGTTAGCTGTTTTGAATTTACAAAGGCTGTCCTGCAATCCCTAAAAAATCCAGAGCCCTATACTCAAACACTTATGACAGCACTAGAGAGGCTAATAAATACCTGCAGCAGAATTGTGCTGCAGTGGATCCCGGGCCACTGCCAGATCCAGGGTAACGAGATTGCAGACCAGCTGGCAAAAATTGGGGGAAAGAAACCACAACCGGAAATTTCGCTACACCCAAAAGAAATAAAAAGAATAATAAAAAACAAACAAACGCAAATGTGGTCTGACACACACCCTAACTACAATAAAGATGATGGCTATTATAATTTGACACGAAAACAACAATACATAATCTTTCGACTTAGAACAGGCCACAGCAGACTAAATCAACACATGCACAAAAAACTAAAGGTTGGGTGTGGCGAAATGTGCCCTTGTGGCAAGGCCCCGGAAAATACGGAGCACGCCCTTCAGGAATGTTCTCTGTATAGCCAGGCGCGAGTCAGACACTGGCCCCTGCCCACCCCACTCAGGGAAAAATTATATGGGGCACCTGACAAACTGGAGACCACAGTCCGGTTTGTTCACGAAGTTGGACTTGTTGTCTGAATCCACCATATTCTCAATTAAGAATGAAGAAGAAGAAGAGAAGATTTACAAAGGCACTAGTAATTATGCTTTTTGCTGTACTTAAAAAAGTATTTTACCAGCCCAGTTCCAAATGGATAGTTTGTTTGAATAAATACTACTGAGTATCATTTAAATTTGTTTTTCTAGATTTCATGGCTCACTGAGTTCAAATTTTTTTTTCTAGAGTCCCACAAAAGAGAAAAATTTAGAAATTGTAAAATCAGCTACAGAAAAAAGTTCAGGAAGTCGAAGATCAACTACAGAAAAAAGTTCAGAAAGTCACCAATCACCTACACCCAAAGCACCACCCCTAGGTAAATAACTGAAGCTAATGAAATAACTGAAGCCAATGAAATAAGTGAAGCCAATAAAATAACTTTAAGCCAATGAAATAACTTAGCTTCCTCCCTGTGCTACCTATCATGACAAAAAACAGAACAACCTGTTAAACTGTTTTAAACTCTACCATCCTCAGCATTCCCTATAGTGAAGCCCTCTGGTCCTGTCCAACCACCAAAAGTAATTGAGCTACTCAGTGATGAAGGCAGTGATGGCGAAACAGTGGACATTAAATCTTCCCTCGTCTTTCTCATGTCAGGATTACAAAACCAGGTCAGTTCTTGTGGGTGCTGGAAAATTTTTAAGCTCTTAAGGTCACATCTTAGATATATGTATGTATATATATATAAAATACTATATATGCCTTGCTAGCTAAAAAATTAAAATAGACTTTATACATTATAATAGGGGTTATTAAACAATTTATTCATAGGGATGTAAAATTCCAAACTCCTTGTTAAGTAAAACTGTTGCATTTGCTTTTATTTCAAGCAATACTTCAGATTGTAAAGCACCATTTTGAACCTTACTATTCATGGTGCAGGTGAAGTAGAGTTGACCTTTTTCTATGTCCTCATCTTATGATGGCATAGTGACGTCAGCATTCCAACCAGCTGTTAAATGGAGTGTAACTGAATGTTTTTAGTTGTTTTTTTTTTAATTTAAAAAACTATTAAAGTTGCGTTTTATTTTTACTTGCAGGAAAGGTTAGACTACTCTGCTTTAGTGGAAAAACTTGGTGGCCGAGTTGTAGAGATGCAGCACTTTGACCCATCTAGTACACATTTAGTGATAGGTAGGTGACTGGTTCAGTTTTTAACCCAAACTTTCAAATCAAAACTTAAATCAGTTTGTGCTCAACAGTGTAGGTGAAGTGATAAGGGATATAACCAAGCATTACAGGAAATATTGACAGTTTGGTTGAAATGTAGTTGTTTAGAATGATTGTAGATTAGACAGTCGCGGTATTTAGGGTAGAATCAAAGGTGGGGGTTAATTTTAAACGTAAATATATATATTTAATGAATTCAAGTGTATATGCCAAAAACAAAATTTTGTATATTAAATTAAAGCATTAACATAGCAATACTGTTAATTAAGATAATTTTAGATCATATAGAAATTTGAAATAGTGTGTTTTATGTCATTTAATTTAGAATGCATAATTGTTGACTTTTACTGTCTTAAATGTTTTCAAATTTGTTTCAATTTAATTATTTATAAGATATACGAAATATTTTTTATCTTTACTTTTATAAAAAAATTGTTAAGAGATTTAGTTTCTAATTGTACAGTAGGCTATTGATGCCAATACTATGTCCTACACCTAATGATGCCAATTCTATGTCCTACACCTTATCCTGCCAATTCTATGTTCTACACCTAATGATGCCAATGCTATGTCCTACACAGGCCAACCAGCCAGAAATGAGAAGTTTTTATCTTGTGTGGCATCAGGGAAATGGATCCTTCACAAGTCTTACTTTGAAGCATGTCGCAAGGAAGGCAGATTTGTCGAGGTAATGTTGAGTCTACATATCCCTTCTATAATGTGGAGGTAATGTTGAGTCTATATATTCCTTCTATAATGTTAATGTTGAGTCTATATATTCCTTCTATAATGTTAATCTTGAGTCTATATATTCCTTCTATAATGTTAATGTTGAGTCTTTATATTCCTTCTATAATGTGGAGGTAATGTTGAGTCTATATATTCCTTCCCAAATTGAAGCATGATAGTGTACAGAGTTTATTTGAGTGGTGAAATTAATTTGACTTGACTATATTCTATTTTGTAGGAAACCCACCACGAATGGGGCAGTGAGTTTACTCTACCACTGATGAAGACGATGACACCACTAGCTAAAAATCTGGCAGCTGCTGCTTACAAATGGCGTCAGAAAATTTCTTTGCTGAAAAAGGTAGTAGCATAGAGTAGTGTGGGACTGTGTGGTCGAATGGGAGAGCGTTTGACTGCTTGAGACCCAAACTGAAGGTCTCAAGTTTAGGTCTCTGTTTGGACTTGTGGTTGTTGGACGTCCCTGAGTCCACCCAGCTCTTATGGGTACCTGACATATGTTGGGGCAAGTAAAGGCGGCTGGGCATAGTGCTGACCACACATTCTGACTCAAAATACCGTGTTATACGAAAGTTAAAGGAAAATGCTAATCATTTATTCTTGAAATAATCCAATAGGCCAATTCATCTTGTAAAGGGGCCTTTGATGGCTGGAAAGTTTTACTGTGTTTGGACAAAAGTAAAGAAGAAAATTTCCAGAGATTGCTGGAGGCTGGTGGGGCCAAAGTCTCCACAGTAAGGTAAAAAAAATCATTTTTCATTGAGAGTCTGGCTAAGACATACAATAGCACTGTAGTGTGCTTTATTATGGTGAAAATATTATGGACAAAGTTGTTCAACTTTTGCTACAGTGCTAGATATTATAGAACTAAAAGTTTAATTTGGAAAATAGCTGTATTATTAATAATTATAGACTCATTTTTAATTTGAAGTGTATCAAATCTTTTTAAACTTACATTATAGATCACCTTCCACCAGTTTAGAAGAATCAACACATGCTTTTCTAGACCTGAACAAAATCATGTTGCCCCAGGTACAACTTTTTATTCAGCCTTGATCCACAACTACTCATTAATATATCTACAGTATAGCCATATTGACCTCACTAGACAGGCTTTTGACACTTTTTGAACTATTGGTATTCCAGCTAATGAATAGGACAATGGTTGCTGACTGTCTATTGATTGTGTCTAGAAAAATGTGTTTTTGTTTCATGCAATTGTATGCAAGCATGTACCACACTCAACTCTAGCAACTAGTGGACAATCAAAATAGTTTACAAGGAAGTATTGAAGCTCGTTTACAAGTTGTTTTGTTTCTATTGATACAGAATGATCTGGAGCGTCTGATAGAAGCTGGCGTCCACTGCCTGAAGCCTGAATACATTCCAGCCTTTCTCACAGATGACCCTCCACCAGACCCTTCAGAGTTTTACCCTGCTGAAGTTGTTGTTTTAAAATCAAGGTAAGACTCACTAAACTCATTATACTTATACTCATTTTGAGTACATATGCTTCTTGCCTTTTTAAAGGAAATAATACTCACCACTTTTTGTGATCAGTATAAAGCCTGACATTTAATTGTAGGCTTTCACATGTGTTTTATAAAAATATTTAAAAGCTGATGATGTAAATAAGAATTCTACCTGTGCATGTTTATTATTGAAGCATTTAACTGATAACTGCATATGTTGGTTAGCCTGAAACATATAGGCTGCTGACCATATTACCAAACTTACACATTCTGGGTTCATATCTAAAACAATAAACCCAATACCAAAGACATCATGTTTGACCTGTCTAAATTACTCTTTGTGTTTCTACTGTAATTATAGTTTAGCATGGGTGAAGGCCAAATGAATAGGTGAAGGCATGCTAGACCACAACCCTTATTGGAATTGGATACACCCATTTATTAATGTAGTGAAAAGACTTGGAAATTCTTGTAATTGCCAAAAGGATTGAGCACTGCTTTTGTCTAAATTGAACGTTAATTGCTAAATAAAGTAGTATATAATTTATAAAACATAACATTATTTATACAATTTATTTTTTTCAAATGAAAATTACAGGGTGTAATTTATCAAGAAAGTTTTGAAAGCAGATGCTCAATTTTCTTCTTGCAATTGAAATAAGAAACTTAGGTTATTGACTCTTGTCATTTTCAGAACCTAATTGTTTATTCTGCAGTATGCAACAGACAAAGCAAAGTCGCAAGAGAGCACGGGGACATGACGATGAGAGATCTGTCAGTAAATTGGCCAGACGATGACACCCTTTTTAAAATGTACAGAATAGATTCATCGTCGAACAATTTGTCGATTTATTTGTTGTTATATTTGTTTCATGGTTTTTATGAGGTGCCTTCTATCGGATTCATGGTTTAAATCTTACATGTCTTTAATTTTTAAAATCTACTACGGTACGTATAAAGCTCGGTAAATTAATTAACTCACTAGGATACAGTTTGAACTTCATTTTATGTTTTTTTAAAAAAAATTGCAATAATTCTACCAGTTTTTCTCTATTTTTCTGTACAAAAATAAAATGAATAAGATTCAATTTTAAATATTTTAAATTATACTTTAACTCGAATTGTAAGATAAGTTAGTTTTTACTCATTTAGGGTGGATAGCTGAATGTGAACTTGTGTATTCAATTTAATTAGATTAATAACTTGAGGTCATTCAAACGTCTCCATGGTTTGTTTTAGCATGTTTTCTTTTCTTTATGTAATTTTACATTTATTTGAAATACTATTCATATTTATTTGATCAACCAACCACTGGGTTTAAAGGAATAAATTTGTTTTGGCAGCTGTTTGAAACAGAAACTGTTTACAAGTATTTTTTATTAACAGGCATCCATGACCAATGTGTAGATATTTTTTTGAAATAGTTGACCACTGTTAACAGTGATCTTGTTGGCTATGTGCATGTAGCCACTTGTACAGATGATCTGATCACTATGTTTGTTAAATGCAATAAACTTGTACATTCATGACTAAAATGTTTCAAGTTCACTTTATTTGTTTTGTGGAAAGATCCCAATACCTGCAAAGCTTTCCATCCCTAATTTCCTACAGTCAAAGGTAAATAATTCTAGGCCTAATGTACCAAAAAGTTAAATAATTATAAGCCCAATTCACCAGAAAGGTTAATAATTAGCTTAATAAGCTGAATGTAACATACATAATTGAGAACATTCAAGACAGCCCTCCATTCCCTCTGCAGTTTTAAGTACCCTTTCAAATTTGATAGTCCATAATAGAATGTGTGTCTTTAACTGCGGCCAATGTAGTATTATGTCATCAGCACTATGCCCAACTTCTTTTCCCCAAATTGCATCAGGTACCTATTAGAGCTGGATGGACTCAATCAAACCTAGAACCAAACTCAAGACTTTGTGGTTGACAATTGTGCATTTTATGTCATTATGTTGCACAAGAAAACTTTGGGCTGTACCAATACTTGTCAAAGGTTATTTTGATGTGCCGTCAAAAATAATAGACCTAAATTATTTCAACACGTTTTAATAATAGCAAAATAATACAAATTTTGTCTAATTTAATGCTGGATAGTACATATTAATATTATTAATGTAAGCCTATTTTTAGTCCATACGCTGAAATTATTTCTCCTAGTAACTTGAAGACAAAAATTGAACCTGCAGTCATGTATCAATCACTGAAGATACCTATTTGTTTTTACTGTTTATAACAAATGATGGGCTGAACAGTTACTACAATTGTTGACCCTTCCCGGCGCCCGGGGACAAATTTTCAATTTGCACCCCCCCTCAAACTTTTGATTTGCATCCCCCCTCAAACTATTTATAATGCAAAAGTGCAGCTAAAATGACATTTTAATTTGTTTTTACAAACCATTTTGGCGCCCCCTAAGGTCGGCGCCCGGGGACATATGTACCCCCTGCCCCCCCCCCCCCCCCCCCCCACCCCCCATCGCTACGCCTCTGGAGTTGGGAAATATGCAGGCTATTTCTTGATCGATCAAGCTACATAATCAATTTCTTGGTAGATATTTCTGTTTGCGCTTTTCTCCCCCCCCTCCTTCCCCCCTCCCCCCTCAACCCAATTCTGCAAAAACTCACCACCCCTCCCTAAAATGAGCGCACATTATATGAAATGATGGTCTTCAAAATGTTTCGATTTCCATGCGTTTATTATTGTTATGAAAAATAAACTACCTAAGGTTAAAATACTTTATACGATGCGTGGAACTTCTCCACAGACAAAAGTCAAATTTAATATTATATTACATCCATTTCCAGTACTTTGACAACCCTTACATAACTTTAACTTTTTTCCTCGGTTTTCCGCTTGATAATGTTTATTACATAAGAGAATATGTTCTGTCTGCTCTATGACATTAGGTATTACATCGAGGAATGATGTCAACGGCAAGGTCTGTCAATGTGCGATCCAATTTTGTTCCATTGTCGAGAGCCATTTAATGATTTTGAAGTTAATTTTAACTTTAACGTTGGACGAGAAAAAAGACAAATTTTTTATTTCATGTTGCAAAAGTGCATTTTTCGTCCTTAACCTTGTACATGAATATTTAGGGCGATATCGATACTTTTACAAAGTTATTTCAACGATGTGTTGAGAAAAATTGATAAATCTAGATCTAATAATTATTTTAACAAATTAAATAGTCATAAAATAAAAATAAAAATTTCTTTTATTATTGTAAGGCAGAGCAATATAATTTTATCATATAGTATATTATTTGTTCTCGTCAAACGTCGTGCTTATGTAATTGGGTCAAATAACCTTGCTTAAAGGCGATATTGCTCAGTGGCAAGAAAAACCACATGGATTTGTTGTATTTTTAGTTATCTATCTGCCAAACAGTTATAAAGATAACTAAAAGGATTTAGATTAACGTTATAACAGCTATATTGGCGTTTTATCCGTATACGCTTTAAAAAAATTTTTAACAAATCCACATATTCAAACGATCCTAACTTATTTTAAACGATCTCGATTACTCTGTTTTGAGTGTTTGTTATTGACCTTGTCAAGATGGCGACTGTAGCACTTCTTCGAACTTGTTCAAGGGGTAATTTTACAGTTGTATTTGTATTTTTATAGCTTATTTATTTGTAGTTAATGAGCTTTCTTTTTCCTCTTTATTTTACACGATACTCATTAATTGGCTTTTAGAAGATTCTAGTACAATTTAGTATTAAGTTGCCTACCTTCAAACTTCTTAATTCTTAGCAGAGTACTAGAGTAGACTAGCGATTTTATTTTGGATTAGGGCATTAGGCTAGGTATTGAAAAATATCTAGTTTCTAGATCTAGATTTCTAGATCTAGAATTTAGATCTAAGGTAAAACTCCATTTTAGCTTATTATATTCGACACTTCACGTTCACCTCAGTTTCAGCGTAATAGCCAATTGGTTTTAGGCTAATTCTAGCTGGAAAAAGATGTATTCGATGGTACTGCACATGCATGTGTTTACAGTAACTTTACAGTCACAGAACCCTAACCGTATCCCTAACCCTAGCCATAACCCTAGCTCAGCTATTAAGGTCGTTGCGCTTGCGCAGAACTATCTTTTGCCGACCAAGTGGAGACGCTGGGGTGAAAAATCTTTTTCCGAGTAGTCACTTCGTTCATTATAATATTAATTATAAACTATCTTAAACATCCAAAACACACAAAAACGTTACGTTAAGAAATGCTAGGATTAGAATATTAGATCAGATTTAGATCCAGATCTAGGCTAGAGTCTCCTGAGTATTCTAGACTTAATCTAGCCTAATTAATTTTTTTTTATGATGTGTGTTTTTAATTAAAACAGGTAGGCCTAAAAACATTGAATAGGACACTAACTGTGAAGTCATAAGCATTAGGCTAAATTAGGTCATTAGGCCTACAGTTCCAATAAAATAGCGTGTGATCACCGGCTCATTTTTTCTCATCAGCTGGAGAAAAATAACGGTTGACGGTTCATTGACTTAAATTATCTGCATATGACAAAGGTTGGGTAATTGCTATTTGAAATTGTGGTGGCTTCAGTTTTGGGGTCATTGTGAGTTCACATAGGCCTAATGTAAGATGTTGTAACAATACAAACTTAATCGCCTTGCCATTACAATTTTCATTATTTGTCTAAAGCCATTGAAATCTTAACTGACACAAACATGATTTTCAAGAGTAAAAAAACCCAGGTATATCTAGAATCTAGATCTAAATAGCGCATATTTTATTATTTCAAATTAGGATTTTTCTTAAGTTTTGACAAAATTATCAAAAACAAACAAAAATTCATAAAGTAATAGGCCTAGTGTTTTCCTAACATTATTGTGTGTTTTTGGTTGTGTTAAGTATGCTCAGCTGAAGGTGAATGTGAAGCTGGTAATAAAATACACTAAAATGGAGTTTTGCCTAGATCTAGATCTAAGTATTATTAAAATTATAGGCCTAGGCCTAATTATTTATATCTAAATCTAGTACCTATAAATTATTTTAAAGTATATTCAACTCATCATGTTTAATATTTATTTTTAAGAGAAAACAAAAATAACCTAGATCAGGTCTCTTAAGCCTTGCCTAGCTAGGTTATTTTTGTTTATTATAGTTTGTGCTGCCATTTTGGTATCGAAGGCACATTTAGACTTTTTAAAATTTTAATTTACTAGGTCTTATATCAATTTAAAGTTATTGTTTTGTACATTAGGTAGCAGACTTTTGCTGCAGATGAGACCTCAGCCATCATATGCAAACACAGATGTAATTTCGAAGCAGTTTACAGCTAGCCCAGCACTAGCGACCATTGAATATTTTAGGGCTAGAAGAGGTCCATTCACACCAGGTAAATTTTCTATGAAGTTTATTTATAATTATGTGTAGCCTTTAGGGCTCATCTATAGGTGAAGGGGGTTCTGATCATGAGCTCCATCGGGTAGAAGGTTAAAAAATGAGATATCTCTTGCAATTTGCTTTTTTTTTTAAATAAAAAGGACGAGAAACTTAAAATTCAATAAAAAAATATAGGAGTTGAGCATTGTAATGTCATGGAGATAGCCTACTTTTAAGATAAGGGTTTGAGGTGGCAAAATCTTGTTAAAATATGTCATTTATGGGCATCCTGTAAAGTTTTTTTTATAGAATTTAACCTATTATAGGTTTTTGGGTTTAAACAGACAATTTTCTTAAATAATCTTTATTACAAGAATGCATTTTGTCTGGAAAGAAAAGTTATTTATTTGAATAGTATTTGTTGTTTTTTATATCTCTTGATTTTTAATATTCACTTTCAGAGGAGAAACGTGGTAAGAGTCATATCATGATGGCTTCAACTCATTGGAAAGTTGAACGTTTTGTTGCTTTAGGAATGGTTGGGATTATGCCAGCTGCTCTTTTCATTCAGGGATCTACAATGGATCATTTGCTCACTACTTTTGTTTTCCTCCATGGATTCTGGTAGGTGGAATCAATAGATAGAATCTTTTTTATCTCACAGTTAAGATCCCATTCATACTTGATAGGGCAAGTGAGGTAGAGTTCACATGTTTTATGACCTCAGCTTATGAAAGGATAGTGTGGTCCAGCAGCCTGGACTTTTCCTAATGTGAGTCAGGTACCCATTAGATCTGGGTTGACTCAGGGACTTGAACCCGAATTTAAACTTGATACTTTTGAGTTGGAAGTGGTATGCTCTATCATCAACCACACTGTCCCCTTACATAGATTTGTTAGTTAAACTTGGTAGGTTGGAAAAAAAATCATTTTTATACAGTTTTGTTAGCTAAACTTAATGAAAGATAAAAGTTCTTTCCAGAATAGCTTCTTAATTTTGAGTCAAATACAAATGGCCCAACTGCAATTAGATTTATCAATTGTTTGATAACTCATTTAATTTTAATACTCTCCCCAGGGGTATTGATGGAGTACTGAAAGACTATTTGGTGAAATTTGTTCCTTGGGTCGGCAAGCTGTGGTATCTTCTGGCTATCATTGGTTTTGCTGGGCTAATTAACTTTAATTTTAATGATGTCGGAGTTTGCAAGGCCATTCAAATGCTTTGGTCTTTGTAATATTGCAACATGTATGTATAGAAATAATATTGGTTATGTTTTGCAGCATTGAAGTGAATGTTTATTATTTTTAGTCATCAAATGTATTGTATGGATAAAATGTTGAAAGTTAGAAAAATGAAAATTATCAATTTGTTTTTGAACCACAACAATGTTAAGAAAAGAAAGATGACTACCAACTTATAATGTATATGTAAAGGTTTGAATCTTGTAGTTGAACAGGTTTTTTTATACACTGTGCTATGTAGTTTTAACACTTATGCACTTTCATTTAAGTCTCTTTTATATTGAAATAATGTATCACTTTTCTATCTTTAAAGGGAATAATTTGGTAAAACAGTGTTACATAACAAATAAATTAACAGATACAAAAAGTTTACCATGACTGTAGTTGGAATAGAGACTTGGCTTACAAGTTGAGGTATGTGCTGCTATGACTTGAGATTATGTTATCAGATACACAGACCTGGTCTCCACAATGATATATTGTAAAACTGAGGTGTTTACAATACCATGTAATAAAGATTGACTGTCGTACTTGTTTTTGTTCTGTAGGAATTATTTTCTCAGTGTCCGTTCTTGTGATATAGAGAAGGGATGTTTTACAAGCTCAGCTGTACATGTAGAGTATTGCAATAAAGTTGTACTTATTCATTACTGGGACACTTGCAGTTTGTTTTTTTAGGGAAGTTAAGACTGAGGTTTGTTTTTTAAATTAAAAACTATTTGATAGTTGTCACTTTTATTTATTCTGAATTTCAATATATTTAAAAAAAAAAGATTTAGACGGTGCAGTGATACTAGTATAATCAGGTGACTAAACAAAAGAATGAAAACTACTTATGAATGTCAAAGTAGGGTTAACTTAGCCAGAGAAGGTAAACTAGTCAGTTAATGCTGCCTACAGGGCATGAAATTTTCAAGTGAATTGTTATATCTCTTTTAACAATGGGGAATAATTGCTCAGTTTAGCGGATTTGACTAACATCAAAATTTATTTTCTAATCTATCGTATATCATTTTGAAAACAACTGAAATCTGCTCTATTAAGATGTGGAATATTTTATTTTAACAGCAGCAAACATAAGCAAATCAAAACATACTTTACAAATAGTTTTAAATTCTTTTGAAAACCACAATATAAGAAAAGCTTCTACTGTAATAGAGTTACACAAAATAAATTTTTCACAATCCCAAGATAGTACAAGCAACCCGTTTTATTGTTAACACCAAAACTCAGTAATTTTATTGCTGGTTTAAATAACTATGTTGCCTGCAGTTCACAGAACCAAATGTTTGCTCTCCATTTAGTCAACATTTCTCTGATCTTTATCATCAGAATGTACCTGAGAGTACTTTGTCCAATGTGAAGCTTAGCCTCTCTCAGCATAACATCTGGGTCGTAGTTACAAGGGACATAATTCTGAATTACTTCCCTTAGGTTGACTTGTGGCGAGAGGCGCTGTTCCAGTAAATGCAGCATCCTTATCAGCAAGGAATATATCTCTTGTATGTCGTCAGTAGATGGATTACCCTGTTCTGATTTCTGCAGGAGTTGTGTTATGATGACCAGTTGAACTAGTCTAGACTGAATTAAATCCTGGTAGGGAATAAAGAAATCAAATCACAAAATATATTCTGAAGTAGTGCCACCTGGCGAATAAACTTAACTCAAACAAAATTGTCTGGTGATAGAAAATAATGAAAGCCTACATTATACAACTAAAGAGAAGAAAAAACTTTTGTTGAAATTAAAAAGTTTAGTTTTTGGTCTGATCTACTGAGGATGTCACTATTTTATGGGTGTACTGATGGAGTCACTAGGTGGTGTTTGTACTGATGGTGTCACTAGGTTGTGGGTGTACTGAAGGTGTCACTAGGTTGTGGGTGTACTGAAGGTGTCACTAGGTTGTGGACGTACTGATGTTGTCACTAGGTTGTGGGTGTACTGATGGTGTCACTAGGTTGTGTTTATAATGACGGTGTCACTAGGTTGTGGGTGTACTGATGGTGTCACTAGGTTGTGGGTGTACTGATGGTGTCACTAGGTTGTGGGTGTACTGATGGTGTCAATAGGTTGTGGGTGTACTGAAGGTGTCACTAGGTTGTGTTTATAATGACGGTGTCACTAGGTTGTGGGTGTACTGATGGTGTCACTAGGTTGTGGGTGTACTGATGGTGTCACTAGATTGTGGGTGTACTGATGGTGTCACTAGGTTGTGGGTGTACTGATGGTGTCACTAGGTTGTGGACGTACTGATGTTGTCACTAGGTTGTGGGTGTACTGATGGTGTCACTAGGTTGTGGGTGTACTGAAGGTGTCACTAGGTTGTGTTTATAATGACGGTGTCACTAGATTGTGGGTGTACTGATGGTGTCACTAGATTGTGGGTGTACTGACGGTGTCTCTAGGTTGTGGATTGTAACTGGAAATGTGTCTTGTGAGGGTGTCATATTACAAAAACAAAACGGAGTTACCTTTGACAGCGGGAGGGAGGGCACGAGATTTTCGTGAGGGGTGGACTTAATTTCCCGGGGGGGGGGGGAGGCACTGTTTAAAGTATATATTTTTTATATAAAAACTTTGGTTACATAATAGTAGGTCTACAAGACGATAGTATGACTTAAGTCGAAAATATTTAATTTTTTGTATTTTATAATATGTGAAATTTCCACGGGTATTGGATTTTCTACAGATATAACATGTGTTTAAGAAAGTACCGGATGCTAATGTTTATCTTATAATTACTAAACCGCTACATTAATGCTTATCTGACGGTATACCTTATTCAAGAACAATCCAATTTTTTCTTGCAGTTTAGAATTTAATTCCTCGATACAGATACAGTTGTCTGTTTTGGTAACACATTCTCCGGAAATTTTCCCGCTGCACATTTCCGTATTGGTCACACATGCTCCGGAAAATTTTCCGCTACAGATTTCCGTGTTGCTCACACATTCTCCGGGAACCAAAGCGGTGTTTAACACGCGTGTGAGCGCTTCTACGTCGTCATCAAGTCCATCTCTCGAGGTCTCTATGAGGGTCACAAGCTCTTCTACCGCTGCTGTTGTCATTCTGCATTGATGTCTTTAACAACTCCCTTCATGTTGAATACGTATGTTTGAATCTACGTCCTATCTATGATTATCTGATTAACACTGCTAAAACTGACTGGGCTATCTTACCGAGTTGAATGGTTACTTTAAGTTACATCGATGCTGATAATGAATGATATCACGTGACTTATTTATTGATTATAAACATGCAAGATATGTTGTAAAGCTATGTACATAAGGAAGTATTTATGCATCTCCGTGCACTAGACTTAATCCTTCCTAAGCACCTATTAATATTCACTTTTCTAACATGCATGTAATTAACCCCATGAAAAAAACAGCATCTAATATGGTTTTAATAATACGTTTGTCTTTCTGTAAATAGTTGGGCCACTGCCTCATGTTAAGTACCTCAAGTTCAGTACTTGGGTCATTGCCCTAAGTCCAGTACTTGGGTCATTGCCTCATGATAAGTACTTGGGTCATTGCACGAGGTAAGTACTTGGGTCATTGCCTCACGTTCAGTACCTCAAGTCCAGTACTTGGGTTATTGCCTAAAGTCCAGTACTTGGGTCATTGCCTCATGATAAGTACTTGGGTCATTGCACGAGGTAAGTACTTGGGTCATTGCCTCACGTTCAGTACCTCAAGTCCAGTACTTGGGTCATTGCCTAAAGTCCAGTACTTGGGTCATAGCCTCATGATAAGTATTTGGGTCATTGCCTCAAGTTAAGTACTTGGGTCATTGCCTCGAGGTAAGTACTTGGGTCATTGCCTCATGTTAAGTACTGGGACATTACCTACTAGTGAATACTAGGTTCAATGCCTCAAAATAAACAGTGGGGTTATTGTTTCCACTTTGAGTAGATCGGCCTAAATCATTTGCTTTTTTGCACTAGTTCTACATTTCATTATGACAAAATACAAAACAACATAAAGAATTTTAAAATCAAAATAGTTTATTTTATTTACATACATATTTACATGAAAACGAAACCATTCGGATTGACCCACAAAAATCAAACTAAACTACATATTCACCACCACACATAACTTAATATACACTTACATCAAATAAAAAAATAAATAACAAACTTTGTAAATTACAATGGCTCTAAAATACATGACTCTGCCAGCAAAATAAAAATATACTGGAATGGTTTTATATTACTAAAACGTAAGTTACTATCTCTTCCAATGAATTGGATAACATTACTAAAACGTAAGTTAATATCTGTTATTGCGGATCAGTTTTACAATACTAAAACGTAAGTTAATATCTGTTATTGTGCCGATTTCAACAATATCAAGTCTTTATAACTCAATAATAAATATCTTATGGAACACAGCTGGTTGTTGTTTAACATAAATAATGAGACATGGCTGCCTTGTAATAACTGATTTACAGAATAGTGGCGCTGTTCGATATTATAACATCGGCATGGTAATAACTTATTTCAAGAATAGTTGCGCTCAGTGGCGTAGGCAGGGGGGGGGGGGTTAGAGGGGGGTCATAACCCCCCCCCCCCCCATAGACCCCTCGGTATATATATATAAAGTATGAGGGGGGAGTGCAAATCGAAAGTTTGAGGGGGGGCGGTGCAAATCGAAAGTTTGAGGGGGGTGCAAATCGAAAGTTTTTCCCCGGGTAAAAATTGGACCCCCCCCCTTGAGACGACCCTGGCTACGCCACTGGTTGCGCTGTTTGATATTATATAACATCGGATATCCCCGTTGCCCCTGACCTAATTCTGTCAATGCCTGATATGATTTGTACCAGGAAGTAGTGTCTGCCTATATCTGGCATCGTTCAAGACACAATCTTCCTCGGGGCACGGTAGGCACTCCATTAGCTTTAATTAATTAGCAAGGTAATGTAATCTGCTGTGGTAAAAAAATTCTGTACATATATACATGAAGTGTTGACATTAAAATGTATGAGAACATAATGTACTATATCAACACATTAGTTAAAAAAACCAGTTTAAAAAAATAGTATAAAAGTTTCATAAAAAGGCAGTATCAACATTGTTAAAATAAACATTTGTATAAGATGTTTCTATAAAAAAATATGTACAACTAAATCAATGTTTGGCTTTATTGTTTAAACATAATGTTCGTCAATATGGACTAATATTTGATGACTGGTTTTCATAAATGGATAGGAGTAGAATGCATCTGACTCAATGATAGATTTGGTTTTGTTCATGTGTGCGAAAGTCTATGAACTCATGATTTTTTTAAAAAAGCGATAAGTGACAAATCTTGAAAAATGTATGTGCCGTATAGAGCTTTATGTTTTTGCTAAGACTAGGATTTTTTAAAAAAATGTTAACAAAATAAAGGGAAAACATTCCACCTTATAAATGGGGGGAAACAATCCACCTGTTGTTTAGCTCGTGTACTCCTTCAAGTGTATGTAGGTGTCCAGCATGAGTTTGAAGGCCGTGTAGGTCACCGCCCTCTTGAGAGCCGCCTTCGTCTGCTGAAGGCTGTCCACTGGCTTGGCGTCTGCTGTGACGTAGCTGGTCATCTGGTCGTTGGTCAGCGTGGCCTGGAGCAGCTGTTTCCTCAGACAGACGGCCTTGAGCACCTCCTGCTTGATGGAGGTCATGTCCTGACGTCCGGTGCCGTAGTCGCCGTCGTTCTCCTGTGTGCTCAGGTAGTAGGCGTGTATGGACAGCTGGGTCATCACGTACAGGCCGTAGTTCTAGAACCGGAAGTACATGACATTTAAATTTAGAAACAGCGCGGCCCATTTTGGTGTATAGGGTTTGGTACATTGTTTTTAAGCTCTAAATAGTACAAAGAACATCGACGGGCACTATAGTAGGGTTACTAGGCGTTTCTCTCTTGGTATACGAGTCAGTACAAGGGTTAGGGTTGGTGTAGTGTTAGGGTTAGGGGCAAGGTTTGGGATGGCGATAATAATAAAAATTAGATACATCTATGCTGATACATCGTATGCTGGTGCTCAATAAAGTACCCACTAAACTAATTAAATTCTTCGTTAATTAAATACACACTTTATGTTCTAGCGATTTACACTTTTGCACAACTAAAAAAAAGGACACAATCAAGAAAAAACTAACAAGAACACAATAGCAAGAATACACCACAAAAAGTACATTAATGATGATACACTAATGACACATACCAACAAAAAACCCCCACTGAAAATAACATAGAAATGAACACATCAACAACAACAACAACACTATACACTAAATAGGACACATCATTTGAGAATACAGCTCAAGAAAAAAACCAACAAAAATACAGCTAAAAGAATACACTAACCAGAATACTCTAACAAGAGCACACCTACACGAACACACTAACACGAATACACCAACAAGGACACATCTACACGAACACACTAACACGAATACACCAACACGAATACACCAACAAGGACACACCAACATGAACACACCAACAAGGACACATCAACATGAACACACCAACACGAACACACTAACACGAATACACCAACATGAACACTCCAACACGAACACTCCAACACGAACACACCAACATGAACACACCAACAAGGACACATCAACATTAACACACCAACACGAACACACCAACACGAATACACCAACAAGGACACATCAACATTAACACACCAACACGAACACACCAACACGAATACACCAAACAAAGACACACTTACCGTGTCATTAGAAAGATTCCCGTGTAGTATTTGCTGTATGTTGAAGACACCGGCCACAGATTGTTGCAGATTTTGTTGGGTGTTGACATCAAATGTGCTGATCCACGATGTGTACTGGTGGATGGTAACAATAACGTTTCAGGTCAATGTAATGATTACACATTTCATTTAGGTCCAAGTAATGATTACACATTTCATTTAGGTCCAAGTAATGATACCCTTTTATTTAGGTCTAAGTAATGATTACACTTTTCATTTAGGTCCAAGTAACGATTACACTTTTCATTTAGGTCCAAGTAATGATTACATATCAGCGAGGACTACAGATTACACATTTCATTTAGTTCCAAGTAACGATTACTTATCAGTTAGGACTAAAGATTACACATTTCATTAAGGTCGAAGTAATGAGTACACACTGTTTAGTGAAGTCGAAGTAATCACTATACATATTATAAAAAAGAATTCGTTGTATTTAGATTTAAAAAAAAAATTAAATACCTTTGACAATGCTGATCTCGTCAAATTGACCATGTTGTAAAGGTAGTTTTTAAAGTTGGCCAATGTGGTCAGCGGGTCGACGGTCGGGCTAGTCACAGACTCCATGATCTGGCCAGACGTGGGGTACCCGCCCATACAAGAATACACCGCAAGGGAAGCTATTCTGGATGCTGTCGTGTTGCTAGGGGACGCGGTGGTCGAGGGCGGGATGGTGGCGGAGGTGACCAGCGAAATCTGTGAGCTCAGGATGACTGGAAGAGAGAATTGAATACATCATTAGTTAGTTCATGGTAGAAACATGATAGCTTTTTAAAATGGTGTAACTGTTTCAGGAGTATTTGTTTCCGACGACAATGCAAAAATATGTAATTTTAACACGTTAATAGTGCTTTCATAAATTACAGATGATGCTTTGTAATTTTAGCATAAGTACATAAAAATAATATAAATATACACACAAACACACATAGAATATATATATATATATATATATATATATATATATATATATATATATATATATATACAATACTATATATGTATGTGTATATGTTCATATATATATATATATATATATATATATATATATATATATATATATATATATATATATATATATATATATATATATATATATATATAATATTTTTTTCTTCTCACCCAGGGCGAAGACGATTTGTGATAAATATCTAGAAATTTGATCCATTCTACACTGTGATATCTCTTAGGCCGACAGAATCGATCTTGATGTTTAGCTTTCGAGGGTTGAGTAGTTTGAGCTGCTGTCAGTATTAACCGCTCTATATATACACCCACCATGTCCACCCACTTAGGAATTATCAATAAAGTCATTTTAAGATGGTCAGTTTGAGCGTGTTGATTTTCCAAATTTACTTTCGCGATCAGTTTCATCTGCAGTGGTTAGACAACCAGGAAATAGAATAGAGACCTAGCTCTGCGAGTCACGCGTGACGTACCCCGCAAGCTTAACACCGCTCTAGGCAGGGGATATGAAGAAAAGACTCAGTAGCATGGCACATTTTCGGTTTGCTGGTAACCGATGCCATTTATTAAGAAAATAGTGCTATCACTTTCGCTAAGGATAGTGTCATTCTTGTAGATTTTATATTTATATCCAATTATTCACTGCGGGAATGTAAAGTCTCTAGTTCGTGGATTTTTTTTTTTTTTTTTTTGCTACCACACACCTCTCTTTCTATTATGCATTTTTAAAGGTAAATTTCGCGGAGAAATGCAGGTTTTTAAATGTCGGGTTAGATGACGTCATTCACCAAGGTCAAATTTTGTGATGTCATTTTAGGCGTAGGAGTAAAGGTGTATTGTGTGACACATTAGAAAGACGCTTAGATTCGGCTGAAAAGTCGTATGTTGACAAACAGAACTAACTGCAACATTTCTCATTCATAAGTTCTATTCTAATTCTATCTATTATAACTATGTAACATTATTTCTTTATTCCAATTTTTTTAATGCTATGTTACTGCTATGTCTTTACCACTCAGTTGCTTATTTTATTAAAAATGTTATTATGTTGGTTTTTTTAAAAGGCCAATGCGAATTAAGTTGAATAAAGTTGAATTTAAAAGATTAAAAACAAAGCATCTTGGTAACAATAATGATGGGGATGGTATACCCAGTGTTCTCGAGTTTTAGAAATCTAGAAGTTTATGACTAAATCGCTAATTTTTTAAGTACATACATAGAGAGAAAGTTTTTAGAATATGCTTATGAAAACATGCTTATAAGAATACCCTGTATGCGAATATGCTAATGAAAATATGGTATAGAATTATCAAATCTGAAGGATTTTGAGAAAATAAAGAGTAAAGTACCCCTTCCAATCAGCGGAAATCGTTCAAAAGTTGACAGAATCCCGCGAATAGAATCTGATACTAATATGTGAAATTACGTTCACGGTAGTTAGCAGTTTTATTGAAACTGGCACTAGAGTAAATACTAATTCCGTGTACCGGAAATCGCTAAAAAGTTAACAGTTACCTGCGCATACAATCTACTACCAAGATGTGAAATTTCGTTCACCTAAAGGTATTCAAGGTATCGGCTTTTGAGTGCCTGATTAAGTGGGAAGATCTAAAAGGTCGATACAAAACTACAAATTGATTGTATACATTATGTATGAAATTTCGTCAACCTAACTGAAACATTACTCAAATTAAAATCTTTTCTGTAGGCTACATATATATAGGAAGTGTTGACATTAACATATCTTGGTTTTTTTTTTTTTTTTTTTTTTTTTTTTTTTTTTTTTTTTTGCACGATTACTATAATTTTCTTCCAAAATAAAAAAAAAACCTTCTGAAATGGCAACGAATTTTTAAAAATGAGATTTCAACAACCACAAAACAATTTCCAGGATCAGTGTAGCTTGCCACCCCCACCCCTAATCCCCCGCCCCCAAAAACCCCACCCCACCATTGTTTTCTTTTGGACTGACATAGTATGAAAACATCAGCTCTATTATTTTGTCAACAATACGAACTTTACTAATTAAAATCTACACGGTTATCAGCCCTTAGTTGCATCATCGGCGGACTATCGATTTATGTTTGTCTTTACAAGATATAATTAATTTATTAATTTAATGACTTCTCCACCTGGGATTAATCTTGTTGATTAGTGAACTAGTGAATCTATTGTAATATAAAAAAAAAGATTCTACATTAGACCTAGAGATCCACCGGGCAGAGGAAGTAGAGTTCATATGTTTCTTGACCCTACCAACATGTACAAATCAGAGCTGAATCTACTGTTTGAATGAAGATTATTTGTTGACTGGCTTATGTCTAATTAATTATTTTTTTTAAATGGTATGTCTTTAGCTGTATCATGTTATAGTTCACCATGATAATAAGTTCATGCTTGTTTCAATAATTTTTTGCTTTGTAGGGTGAAATGTCCTGTTTTTTTTAACCCTTTGTGTTTCTGTAGCGTTATCTGGTCTGTAGACTAATCTTATCTGTAGAGTTATCTTGTCTGTAGAGTTATCTTGTCTGTAGAGTTATCTTGTCTGTAGAGTTATCTTGTCTGTAGAGTTATCTTGTCAGTAGAGTTATCTGGTCTCTAGAGTTATCTGGTCTGTAGACTTATCTTGTCTGAAGAGTTATCTTGTCTGTAATCTTGTCTGTAGAGTTATATTGTCTGTAGAGTTATCTTGTCTGTAGAGTTATCTTGTCTGTAATCTTGTCTGTAGAGTTATATTGTCTGTAGAGTTATCTTGTCTGTAGAGTTATCTGGTCTGTAGTCTGGTCTGTAGAGTTATCTTATCTGTAGAGTTATCTTGTCAGTAGAGTTATCTTGTCTGTAGAGTTATCTTGTCTGTAGAGTTATCTGGTCTCTAGAGTTATCTGGTCTGTAGACTTATCTTGTCTGAAGAGTTATCTTGTCTGTAATCTTGTCTGTAGAGTTATATTGTCTGTAGAGTTATCTTGTCTGTAGAGTTATCTTGTCATGCTGGGGTGTGGTATGGTGTACATGACATCGTTTTAAAGAACTTCCGCGTTCCAGTGGTATAATCAGACAATAACAACACACAAACACTAAAAAATATGTCTTTTTCAGAGTTATCTTGTCCTATCTGAAGGTATGTGGTACATTGGATTGTTGGTGTCGGAGTTGGTGTAAATTGCTACATGACAACTAGGTCTATTTTTTCAATTTAAAATTTCATACATTCATGTCAAGATTCATGTCAACATTCACGTCAACATTCATGTCAACATCGCGTCAACATTCATGTAAACATTCATGTCAACATTCATGTCCTGGTAAAATCAGCAAGTTTTGTGATTTAATTTATTTTAGACCTCAGATACAAATTATTTTAAATATAAACATTAAAATAAAAACGTTAAAATAGAAACGTTAAGACAAAAACGTTAAAATAAAACGTTGAAATAAAAACAGTAAAAATAAAAATGCAAGCAACAAAAATTCATTGTAGTAAATTATTTTTTAATTGAACACAATTTGTTGTAACTAATAACAGAAAACAAAATATCAATACAGAAATCAAATCAATGAGCATGTCACGGGTGTTCATTTGGAGTCAAGAGCTAAATACTTTTTTATTTTTCCCAGACAGCGACATCATCCGTGTGGCCCATCCCTCTCTCCCCCACCCCTCATCTGCCGTACACATTTTCACATTAAGAGCAGCAGATCTTATATACAAGTCAAAATAATTACAATTATGCAATTTGTGGTAGGGCTAAATCCCCCACCCTAAATCATCGCGGATATTTCGACAATTATCATAGCAGGCATGGGCCTTTACTTAACTCTTACAGCAAAACATTCAAGGCACTCAAAACATGACATCACATTTAATTTTTACTTTTTTAAAATTTATTTTTATTTTTAAGCACATTCACATGTAGTTCAATTATTTTAATTTGCTGCCTTTTGAATATTCTTTACATTTAAGAAAAACTGAATACTGTTTCAAGCGTTATTTCAGGGACGTGGATAATGATATGTTTTACAACATAGCCTTAAGGTCTACATAGGCTGACAACATTATACTGCCATGTATTTCGCCATCCAATACGATATGTTTAATCAAAGTACAGCTAGCAAGTAAAGCTCTCTTGAATATGGCTTGTAAGTAGGTCACCAGCCAGTTCTATGGCTCATGCAGGTTTTATTGAGCCGTAGAACTGGTTGGTGACCTACTTACCAGCCCTATTGTATATAAAGTTTGTCAACATAAAGATCTGGCACAGCCATGTCCGATAATAGGGCTGGTAAGTAGGTAACCAACCAGATCTTTGGCTCATGCAGGTTTTATTGAGCCGTGGAACTGGTTGGTGACTCATTTACCAGCCCTATTCTTCACCACTTTATCTATTGTTTAAGAGACGTCAAGAGATCTAATGAAATAGGAACCAGAACCGATGGTCTCATTTATAAGGTCCATTACAGTGGCGGTGAACGCCCTTTTTACGGTGGGCGTTTGGTCAGCTAAAGTGATGACTTGTTTGGTGTAATGTTGGATGACGAAGCTGTGGATGACGTCATTGGTGAGTCGCGGCTGAAGAAGCTGCTTAAGTAGACACACCGTTCGGAGTTGAGTGTTGGTTATTTCCTCCAGGTCTGCGTAAGCGTCGGTTCCATAGCCAGGGTCACATGACTGGGAGGTGAGGAAAAAGGCGTAGGCTGACATCTGTGTTAGGCTGTAAAGTCGGCTCTCCTGGAGGGGAGATATAATTTACAAAACATATAGGAGTAGAATTCTTTTTAACAGAACTGAGGACATTCAAATAAAAAAAAAACAACTGTATGGAGATCAATGGCGTAGCGAGAGGGGGGGGGTGCGGACCGCACCGGGTGACACCATTAAGGGGGGGTGACACCAAGGCAAAAAATAGCAAAATATATAGAGAAAAATTATAATTCCACTTAATTAAGTGATTAATTCAAGTGTTAAAAAGTCTTTTGAGAGCAAATTTGACAAATCCCAATAAAGGTGGAAGGGGGGGGGGGGGTGTGCAAATCGAAAGTTTTAAAGGGGGTGCAAATCAAAAGTTTGAGGGAGGGGGGTGTGCAAAACGAAAATTGAAAGTTTTTCCCCGGGCGCAGGGAAGGGTCGCTACGCCTCTGGGGGGTGACACCATTAAGTGCCGCACCGGGTGACACCCGACCTCGCTACGCCACTGATAGAGATTGTTGTGAGTTCTATGAATTCAGTAGCCAATAATTAGTACGGACACAGAATTTAAGAAAATTGTCTTAACAAAATCTTTCAGAATTATATGTTGCATTAGGGGTGATTAGCATCGTTAAAAAAAAGAGTATGCAACTGCTAAGCCTTGAGTCTTGAGTTTGATTCCCGTGCTCTATCTAGTAAAACGTAAATGAGCATCTTGATCTATGAAGGACGGTGGAGGGCAATGGTGGACATTGGCTGGACAGAAGTGGTTACATTTTTAGAATCTGGTTAAGGAAAACACACTTAACGTCATTGCTTCTGAGGGAAGATAAGCTAAAGAGATGAATTTAGAGTGAGGCTCGTCCATATATGACGCACATATAACGTTAAAAAAGTATCTATAATAATAGTTTCGCTGTCTGTGTATGTATCTATCTGTGTATCTATCTATCTATGTATCTGACAAGAACGCTCTAGAGAAAACACAAGGAAATTAAAACATGCATAGTAATTCGAAAAACGAAGTATGACGCGGTCACATTTAGCATAGAGTAGAAAATAATCTCAAGCCGGAGAGTGCACACAGTAATATGACGTCATTGATTCTCGAGTAAACATTGAATAAAAAGGCAATTTTGTCTAATCTAAATGGTTTGCTGTGAAGAGTTTCTTGCACACAATTATTCGGGTAGGGGCGAAGCCCCATCCCCGCTTAAGAACATCTGAATCTCCCCTCCCCAACTCAAAAGAAATTTCTTCATCGATACTCTATAATAAAATTACCGCCTAATTAATGTGTCTAATCTAAAAAAGTGGTTTTCTTGCAATTTCTTTAATGCAATTCTTCGGGTAGTGGCTAAGCGCGACACCAGTGTTTCCCTCAGACTTTTTCCTCCCCGGAGAGGGGTGGGGGTACTTGAAATTTTCGGGGGCGGGGGTGGAATTTTCGGGGAGGGGGGCGGACACTGGAAAAAGTATATAATTATATTTCGTTGAATGGGACGGTAGACATGTTTTTTTGTAAGTTTAGGGGGGGGGGGGGGGTGGGGGGTGGGGGGATGGGGGGGTGGGGGATGGGGGGGGTGTGGGGGGTGGGGTGGGGTGGTTTTAGTTTAGAGAAAAGAGACAGCACTATCAGCCTAGCGCCCGTTGTATCCTTCCTCAACGGGCCATTTTTCTCGTCTATAATAATAGTTTCGCTGTCTGTGTATCTATGTATCTGACAAGAACGCTCTAGAGAAAACACAAGAAAATTAAAAACATGCATAGTAATTCGAAAAACGAAATATATGACGTCACATTGAGCATAGAGTAGAAAATAATATCAAGCCGGAGAGTGCACACAGTAATATGACGTCATTGATTCTCGAGTAAACATTGAATAAAAAGGCAATTTTGTCTAATCTAAATGGTTTGCGTGAAGAGTTTCTTGCATACAATTCTTCGGGTAGGGGCGAAGCCCCATCCCCGCTTAAGAACGTCTGAGCCCCCCCCCCCTCCCCAACTCAAAAGAAATTTCTTCATCGATACTCAATAATAAAATTACCGCCTAATTAATGTGTCTAATCTAAAAAGTGGTTTTCTTGCAATTTCTTTAATGCAATTCTTCGAGTAGTGGCTAAGCGCGACACCAGTGTTTCTTTCAGACTTTTTCCTCCCCGGAGGGGGGAACTTTTTCTAATCTAAAAAGTGTTTAGAGTGCAGTTGTTTTTTTTTCAAGCATCTCTTCCGGTAGGGGCGAAGCCCCGCCCAGATTCTTCCTTTAGTTTGTATGATCTACAAATGCGACCAGTGTTTCTTTCAGACTTTTTCCTCCCCGGAGAGGGGTGGGGGTACTTGAAATTTTCGGGGAGGGGGCGGACACAGGAAAAAGTATATAATTATATTTAGTTGAATGGGACGGTAGACATGTTTTGGAGTGTGTGTGTGTGTAGGGGGGGGGGGAGGTGGGGGGCGAAGCCCCCTCCTCCCAAGTAAAGTAGCCTGAAAGAAATTCTAAATGCGACTTTTGTCATGAATGAGATTAGGTGCATGGTTTAGGGATATGCCTATGACTATATTTTGTATAAATTAAAGTACCGAGAAAATAGACAGCACTATCAACCTAGCGCCCGTTGTATCCTTCCTCAACGGGCCATTTTTCTCGTTTTTAAGGTTAACTAAGAATTTTGAACAGTACATGTAACGTTAACAAAGTATTTTTAGCAGTACATGTAACGTTAATAAAGTATTTTTAACAATACCTGTAACGTTAACAAAGTATTTTTAACAGTACATGTAGCGTTAACAAGTATTTTGAACAGTACATGTAACGTTAACAAAGTATTTTTAGCAGTACATGTAACGTTAACAAAGTATTTTTAACAATACCTGTAACGTTAACAAAGTATTTTTAACAGTACATGTAGCGTTAACAAGTATTTTGAACAGTACATGTAACGTTAACAAAGTATTTTTAGCAGTACATGTAACGTTAACAAAGTATTTTTAACAATACCTGTAACGTTAACAAAGTATTTTTTAACAATACCTGTAACGTTAACAAAGTATTTTTAACATTACTTGTAACGTTAACAAAGTATTTTTAACATTACCTGTAACGTTAACAAAGCGGGCAGTTGGTCGTCTGACAAGTTGATGGCATCTGCTGCTATTTTTCTTATCTTGTCCTTCAAGCCCGCGCCCATCCAACTCTTCCAATACGCAAACTGGAATCACAATAGTTGTATGTTTAGAATGGATAATCGAACTATAATTGTATGTTTAGCATGGCTAGTCACACAACGATTTGTAAGCTTAGCGTGGCTAGTCGCACAACTATTAGGTAACAGAATAGGTAAATGTATAGCATGGCTAGTTACACAACTATTGTATGTTTAGCGTGGCTGTTACACAACTATTGTATGTTAGCGTGGCTAGTCACACAATTATTATATATTTAGAGTGGCTAGTCGCACAACTATTTGTATATTTGGTTTGGATAGCCGCACAATTATTAGGTAACACAATAGTTGTATTTTTTTAAAAAAATCAGCTTTCTGTAATGTTTAAATTACCTTAATAGAGAAGACATTGAGCAGATCTCTAAGTTTTAAAATCTCTCTCCGGTAATTTTCTTGAAGAACGGCATCACCACCAGTTCTATCTACAGCCGTGGCCATTACGTCAGAGGGCGCGCTACCACCCGAACAAGACGATAAGGCAAGGGCGGCTACTTGTGTACCAGCAGACGTCATAATGTGTTTTTTAGCTGAGCTCTGGATTATATTTTTTTTCACCTGTTAAAAAATGTAATATTTCAACTGAGGAAGATGAATTAGTTTAAAAAGAAAACAATAAAACAGGCGTCCATTTTTTTTGTTAAGAAATTAATTTAATTTGCAACCTGTTTTTAAACTTTCCTAAATCCAGTAAAGTGTTTTAAAATGAAATTTTAACTTACCGTAGACAAATCAAATCAAGCGAAAAAATTATTCATGCGAAAACGTCCGTTTTTTTAAAGCAAGTTAACGATTCTTTGTGTGGTGGGCTTTGGACATAACCTGAGCTACTAACCTACCCTTTTATTTATACCCCCTGGCGGAGATTCCCCATTAATTTTCGCTCCAAACTGACCACGTACTAAAACAATGGGAAATTTAACATAGTCTTAAAATACCCACCTCACCCATCCTTCTATTCTCCCAGCCTCTCTGATCTATGCACCCCTCCCCCCACCAATCTACCTCTCCTAATTAAAAAGTACCACTGAGTCATCCAATCGCCGTATCAGCTAACGGTCTAACGGTTGGATGGAAAACACAGGTAATTAATAGCCCGTGTGTCCCGACATAAACAGGACACACGTCTATTGTGTGGGTGTGGGGTAGGGGGGTGGTCACTGGAAAGTGAAAAAAGTCCAGGGTAATCGCATAGGTGTGCGCTGATATCCTGTTACGATTTTGTTTCTCTCTTTTACTGAAAAATATTAAAAACATACAGACAATAGTATATAATACCATAAAAATAGATAAAAGAACGCATCACTGAATAGAAATTTTATTTTAATTTAAATCTTGATGTCTTAGCATCCAACTTAAACAAAATCCAGTAAATAACTTTTTTTTGTAAATATAAAGTAAAATCTATGTATATATATCAATATATTATTATATACAATAAACAAATTAAAATGTTATTTTAAAAAAATTCATCAAATATAGGCAACATACCATTTTTGAAACATCAATTGCGGCATTCGTGGAGCTATCATAAATTTTGTTGAAGAGATTAAATATTTGAAAATGGTCTGTTGCATTGTGGGTAGAGGAAGTGTGACATTTTATTTACGTAAACATGGACAAAAATGTTTACATTCACACCAAGAGAAAATTGTGGTTAAAATCCCATGTGGTAAATACATGAAGTATCAGGATAGAGGTAACTGGATACAAATAATGTGCTTGAAATTATAACAAAGTAGAAGAAAAAAATAAACACAAATTATTTTGGTTTGAAAAGGAGTTACAATGGGTTTTTTTTTAAGTTGCGTAACTTCTAGCTCTTGTGAGTAGAATGTCGATTGTGATTACCTCACTAATATACTTTCAAGTTAGAAAAAAATGACGTCCTTATAGCACCCGTGTTATGTTTTCATTCATATTTGTATGCACAGTACGACGACATTTATAGGTTGATATTTACTAGACTTAGTATATGTGTTAAATAGAAAATTATTTATGTGAGGTGGGCAAATGTGTTGTTTTGTATGATGTGTTGTTATGTTGTGAATATGATGTGGAGAGTTGCGTGTGTCTCGTGTAGTGTATATGAATGTTGTATTTGATGTGATGTAAGCTAGGCTTTTTGTGTGGTTGGATATATGTGATTATGTGAATGTGATGTATGTGATGTGGTGTTTGTGATGTGATGATGCGAATGTGATGTATGTGATGTGGTGTTTGTGATGTGATCATGTGAATGTGATGTATGTGATGTGGTGTTTGTGTTGTGATGATGTGAATGTGATGTATGTGATGTGGTGTTTGTGATGTGATGATATGAATGTGATGTATGAGATGTGGTGTTTGTGATGTGATTATGTGAATGTGATGTATGTGATATAGTGTATGTGATCTGATGATATGAATGTTGTGTATGTCATGTGGTGTATGGGACGTAGCTCGTGTGAAGTGGCTTAACCAAACCCATGTTTACCCCTAGCATGAGGTCATACATGAGTGAATATGAAGACGTGTTTTATGTGATGTGGTGTTAAGTAATGTGCTTTATGAAATATGGTGTTAAGTAATGTGCTTTATGAAATGTGGTGTTAAGTAATGTGGTTTATGAAATGTGGTGTAGATGATGCACTCTTACAAAATAAGCTTAAAAATTTAAAACTCGCCAAACAGTTCCAGGAAAACATTGTTCTCATGCTGCTATTACTGAACCAAAGCCCGCCAAAAACTCACATACTAGGGTAGATGTTTGCAAACATATAATTAACGTTAACCTTTAGCCATATCTAAGTCTAGCCCCACACGTTTGATTGCAAACTTAACTAAATACGTAAGACCGTAGACCAATTAACTCTAAATGGTCAGTGATAGAAAATGTAAACATGAATCCTATTAACCTTTCAGTTTAATCCAAACACTGAAGTTAACCCTAATAACTCGGTGGAACAACTTACGATTTGCGATAAACTTATCCCCCCCCCCCATACCACCCCCACCCCATTACATTTAATTTGACCTAAACTTCCCTGTCCACCCACACCTCCACCGTTAATTAATTAATTGAATCGACATAGCGATACCGCTGAGATAGCCGACTTAATTAGTTCATTAGGTCATTTCAAATCTAACATCCGTGTTACGTCAATAGCCGACATGTCAAGGTCACCTTTGTAGTGATCTGTTTATAGAAAAAAATCAGACCAAAACACGCTATCTTGGTGATTTCCCCGCCAACTGAAAAAAAAGAGAATAGGATAAAGCCGATTTAAAATTTATAGTGAAAGTGATATTCCCGATAACTTTATCACCGCGGTTGCTCTTGTGATATTTTTGCAACAAATTTTTTAATTGCCATGCTATTTTTATAAAATAAAGACCCTCTAACTAATTATTAAACTTACATTTCAATGGCGGTGCTTGGGATGTGGGGGGGGGGGGGCGTAACGGGGCGTTCTATGATTCTCGAACCCCAAATTTATCCAGATCTGTATTCATAAGTTACAATAAAAGAAAACTTCCGCTAAGCCGAATGAGCTGAGCTCAAATCTAAACCACGAACGGGTTGTAGTATAAGTTTCTTTCAGGCATCTTTTGTAGGGGGGGGGGGGGGGGGGACTGCAAGGTGTTAAGTGTCGTACAGGACACCCATGCTTTTCTTTATAGGCGTAATTCTTTATAGTTAATTAAATATCTATATATTTAAAGAAAATCATTTATTTTCTTCTTTTTAGTGCATATGAAATTTTTTTTTATCAATATTTTAATACTTTGAGAATAGAATAAAACCATGTAGAGAAAATAATTGCTCACTAAATGGACGTAAACAATATGTGTATAATAGAGCGAAATGTTTCGTATTTTGGAAAGTAAACCTTGAATTAAAACGTTCAGTTGCAAAATGTACAAATTTCTTTTTTTATAGTCTCAATTAAAAAAAAACGGGAGTGATCTCCCCTAAACTTTCTCGAATATTCTAACTTAACACAACAGGAGATGGCAACTCGGGATATAGACATGGTTTTTAATTAATCAATTTTTAAATTCTTGAACTTTTAAAAATAGAATAGAATCTCGCAGAAAAAAATAATTGCGCACCAAGGGAATGGCAAACAATATGTGTATAATAGTGTGGTATATTATTAGTACTTTATAAATTCATAAGCGCTTTTTTTTAGAAATTGGAAATAGCGTAAATTACTACTTCCGGTCAAGGGAAATTACTCAAAATTGAAAAAAGGCACTTAATTAGATTTTTTACTTACATGTGAAATTTCATTTATTTATCCGAAACAGTACTCAGGTTATAGGCTTTTGAAAACTAAAAGTAGTATAAGTACCACTTCCAGTTATCAGAAATCGCTGAAAAGTTGATGGAGAACTACACATTTTATATTATACTAATATATGAAATTTCATCAACCTAGCTGTAACGGTACTCAAGTTATCGTGTTCACAAATACAAACAAACAAACACATACATACAGACATACGGACAAAATTGAAAAACTATGTTTTTCCGACTCAGGGATGTGGAAAACGTCGAGATTTGTGAAATTCTCGATTTTGACTATAATACTTCCTCTATACTTCGTTTACGAGAAAGTAAAAACCATTCATAAAAAACGTTTTAATAACAAGCTTTATGTAATAATGCACTAAAAGTAGAAAATAAATTATACACTACTAATTAAATAACTATAAAGAAAAGCGTAGGTTTCTTTATTATCTATTGGATACCTTTACTAATATTTAGGAAGTGACCCACGCTTTTCTTATAGTAATTTAAATAGTAATGTATAGTTTATTTTCTACATTTTAGTGCGTTATTACATAAAAGCTTGTTATTAAAACGTTTTTTATGAATTTTTTTTAGTACTTTACATGTTTTATTTACACTAGAGTTACATGACTAAAAACCATTGCGCACGCCTTGAACGTGATGACGCGCTATTGAACGTGATGACGCGTGCATAATAGTGTGGCGTAGTTGGATAAGACTGCCTACTAATTTGGAACATTTTTTAATTAATTCATAAAAAATTAATTAGGCTACCAATTAAGTCAAACTGAATGTCATTATGCATTGTCTTCATGCCTTGACCCACGTATCAATTACGAACCGTATCTGTCAGTTAGAAATGCCTGCAATTTCGCTCGGGCGTTTCGATTTAGACATACTGACGACAGAGGTGAGAGGAATTGAGTTAAATAAAAGTTTGTAACAAAAATTCATAAAAAACGTTTTAATAACAAGCTTTTATGTTTTAATGCACTAAAAAGTAGAAAATAAATTATAAACTACTATTTAAATAACTATAAAGAAAAGCGTGGGTCACTTTAGTATCTATTGGATACCTTTACTAATGTTAAGGAAGACACATACACACAAATACTCACACATACACACAGACATGCGGACAAAATTGCAAAACTATGTTTTTCCGACTCAGGGAGGTGTAAAACGTCAAATCTCGATTTACGATTTTTTTCACGATTACAATACTTCTTTTATACTTCGTATACGAGAAAGTAAAAAAAAGTTCGTCAAGTCATAAATTAACAGGAAGTAAAGCTATTTTCCTTAAGTCCGCGCGTCAAAATATAGACAGATCTTGTTCCATTTGAAAGCTGGTATAACCCCCCCCCCCCTTCTATCTGGGTGCTGAAGTGACGGCAACAGTGGCTGTGTCGTGTGTGTTCCACTTGTTTAAGTGTCCACACGCTCACGATGCATGACCTTGTCATGGAGCATGTTGACTGACTAGCGCTTACTTCTACATTTGGTACACGGGGTCTTGTTATCTCCCTTACCCGGTGCAGTCGTGGTTCTTGGCAACGTACTCGCGAATTAGCAAGGGCAGTCGCGTGAGTCGTGTGGGCAGAACACTTAGTAGGCGTGTCTCTGGAACCGTAGGGGAGGCACTTTGGCCATCCTAATGGCACAGCGCCTTGGCGAGGTGGGATGGCTTGTGTGCCCCAGCGACCCCCAGAGCTATGCCGGCGGGAGACTGGTGCTACTGGTAGGTTTAACCTTTACCGAACAGATCTGAGCGGGTAGGGGCCAGACTAAATGCTGTGTCCTGGTCATGAGGGTAGGGGCCAGACTTCTGCCCTGGTCCCGTGGGTAGGGGCCAGATTAAATGTTGTTTGTACGGTAGAGCCACTTTGTCTTTGTTTCTAAAGCTGGAAAATATGGTCTTTATTTCTAAAACTGGAAAATATGGTCTTTGTTTCTAAAGCTGGAAAATATGGTCTTTATTTCTAAAGCTGGAAAATATGGTCTTTGTTTCTAAAGCTGGAAAAAATGGTCTTTGTTTCTAAAACTGGAAAATATGGTCTTTGTTTCTAAAGCTGGAAAATATGGTCTTTGTTTTTAAAACTGGAAAATATGGTCTTTGTTTCTAAAGCTGGAAAATATGGTCTTTGTTTTTAAAACTGGAAAATATGGTCTTTGTTTCTAAAGCTGGAAAATATGGTCTTTGTTTCTAAAGCTGGAAAATATGGTCATTGTTTCTAAAGCTGGAAAATATGGTCATTGTTTCTAAAGCTGGAAAATATGGTCATTGTTTCTAAAGCTGGAAAATATGGTCTTTGTTTCTAAAGCTGGAAAATATGGTCTTTGTTTCTAAAACTGGAAAATATGGTCTTTGTTTCTAAAGCTGGAAATATGGTCTTTGTTTCTAAAACTGGAAAATATGGTCTTTGTTTCTAAAGCTGGAAAATATGGTCTTTGTTTCTAAAACTGGAAAATATGGTCTTTGTTTCTAAAACTGGAAAATATGGTCTTTGTTTCTAAAACTGGAAAATATGGTCATTGTTACATAAAGGTCTGAAAATTTGACTGTTGCATATCAATCAACTTTTATTCATAATTCAATATTTTACAGACAACAGTGGAGTAAAATAAAGCTTAAACAGTTGACATTAATAGTTCATTGTGTCATTTCAAATCTAACATCCGTGTTACGTCAATAGCCGACAAGTCAGTGTCACCTTTGTAGTGATATGAGTTATAGAAATAAAAATCATACCAAAACACGGTATCTTGGTGCATTCCCCGCCAATTGATATAAAAAGATAATCGGATAAAGCCGATTTAAAATTTAAAGTGAAAGTGATTTTCCCGATATTTTTTATCATCGCGGTTGCGTTTGTGATATTTTTGCATCTAATTTTTTAATTGCCATATTATTTTTATGCTCAGAAGTTCCTAATTTATTTTCTGTAGATCGCTACGCTTTAAAAAAAATTAAGACCCAACAACATGAGAGGTAGGGGAGGGGAGAGTTCTATGATTCTCTAACCCAAATTTATCCAGAGCTGTATTCATAAGTTACAATAAAAGTTTACTCCCACTAAGTCGAATGAGCTGAGCTCACATCTAAACCACGACTGTGTTGTAGCCTTAGTTTTTTCAGGCATCCCTCGGGGGAGAGAGTACTACAGGAGCATGTCTACCCCCCCCCGAGATGAAATAAAAATGTATAATATTAAGTGCGCCTCCCCCCCCCCGGGCGATAAATATCTGAAAGAAACCCTGGTTGTTACTATAGACACTCCAGGGTTTGATCAACTAAATGACTGACTTATTTTTTTAAAAATTTCTAAAAGATAAACTGGCATCGACAATAAAGTATTGCTAATTTAAGATTTCATGGACTTAGAAATTCATAGAAATCATATTGCAGTTGCATTAAGATTTCTTGTACTTTCATAATTGCATTATTAATATAATTTTAATCTCAGTGTGTAGATTTACAAGTGTTTGAACTCAATTTTGTATTTATCGGCAAGATTTTTTTTAATGCATGGAATCAATTTCTTATTTAATTAACCTTTTTCACAACACTGATAAATAAAACACCAGTGACATTTAACCTTTGGTCTGCGACAGATTGCGGCTCACACGTTTTTATTTTTCAACAGGTTATATTAAAACTAAAGCCAGAACACAGTATAGAATCGTCGTTGTTTTACAGTTTGTATATAACTATAGCCAGAACACAATATAGAGTCGTCGTTGTTTTACAGTTTGTATAAAACTAAAACTAAAGCCAGTACACAATATAAAATCGTTGTTGTTTTACAGTTTGTATACAACTATAGCCAGAACACAGTATAGAGTCGTCGTTGTTTTACAGTTTGTATAAAACTAAAGCCAGAACACAATATAGAATCGTCGTTGTTTTACAGTTTGTATAAAACTAAAACTAAAACCAGAACACAATATAGAAACGTCGTTGTTTCAAAGTTTGTTGATTAACACAGAACATGATTCGAAATACCATAGCTGGTTGAAGTTTAAAACTGAAAGGATCTTCAGCTTAGCTTCCGTTTTAGAAACTATTTTCGTTTCAATGACAAGACGACCTAGGGGTCATCAATAAAGGACGTCACGAAATTACAAAAAAGGGCGCCTTGTTACCCTACCTCCCTTTTCAAATGACATCACAATGCTCCCCCCCCCCCCGTAAAAAACCCATAAATGTAACAAAAATTAATTAACATATTTTATTAATTTGAAATTACAAAATAATTACAAAATTTCACCCCTCTCAATATATCCCTACTAAAATCTGAACCCCTTTCTCCCTCACCTAGAATGTGACATCATCTACCAAAAACTTCCTATCTCGTTAAAGCTTTTTTTATATATATAAATGAGCTGAAGCTAATGTCGTATCATTTCTTAGTTTTTTAAAGAACACACGAAAAATGGGCTGGAACTCATGGTGGTATTCATCAGATCTACTGCAAGGATAGTGAACGCCCTTATTTCCAGCGGCGTTTTGCCTTTGAACGAGACGGCCGGTCGGGTGAAATGTTTTTTGACGAAATTAAAGATGTCGTCGTTTGAGACTTCCGGTTGGAGCAGCTGTTTCAGCAAGCACGTGGCCTTCAATTGTCGGATAACTATTTCCTGTATGTCCGCGCATGCGTGGATTCCGTAATCCCGGTGGTTGAGGTGGGTCTTAAGGAAGTAGGCGTAGACTGACATCTGTGTTAGACTGTAGAGGCGACATTGCTGTAGGGGGTAGATACAACTAATTTAGGTCCACCAAATTCTGTAGTTTACGATATAAGTATAGAAAACTAGAAATAAAGAAGAAATTATAGGTGTTTCTTATGTAGCGTTTCAGATTAATATTCATAATAAACTATTTTACTTTTTACAAAAATGCTAATTAACAACTTAAATTGGCTACAATGCCGCTAAGAGAAATGAAAAATTTGGTACACAGAGCCGTTGATAAACTAAGCCCCCCCCCCCCTCCCCAATTTCGCCTGATTTTCAAATCTTTGGGTTCTCTATACCAGGGGTCGGCAACCTTTTGAAGCGGAAGAGCCAAAAGTTACAATTTTCAAAATTTCCCTGGTTTTAAAGAGCCACAAACATTTTTTTAAATTTCAAATATTTTATTTTTTTATTAAGATTATTAGTATTTGTTCAAGAAGCTGGTGAGCCGCATCTTGATATCAAAAGAGCCGCATGCGGCTCGCGAGCCGCAGGTTGCCGACCCCTGCTCTATACTCTTCCTCGTCGTATGCTGTCGATATTAAACATGTGTAAACAAAAATGTGTATGTTTAAGGTGACTAGCCATCCGTACAATGGTCACAGACCAGAAATTTTTTTTTTTAAAATAGACATACAAATCATTAGGTATTCGTATGGGCAAGTAAGGGACATCCATTAGACTTCACATAAGATCTATTGTATTTTAATTTTAGTTCCTCTTACTTTGAATAAAACCTAGCTAACAAAATTAAATAGATCTAACTTTATTTCAGTGATTACACATTTTACATATATTCTATACATTTGAGATGTATAATCATACCATACATCTTATATACATTTTATTTATTATACATGACCATGGCCCCAAAAACTGACCTGTTCCGTGTTACAGTTACAGGTATCCTGTACAGCAGGTAGCTCCGTGTTACAGGTAACCTGCACGATACTCAGTTCTGTGGTGACCCAATGTTTGACCTCTGCCATTTTCTTCTTGTCCAGAACGATTTTCCAGCTTACCCACTGAAAGCGTGGAAACAGTGGCATTTGTTACACTGGGCAGCATAGATCTACTGATAAAGTATGGCTACTTACACAACTTGACTTAAAGACGTCAATCAGTTATGACTAACTAGGCATGCTGCCCAGCTTCGCTTAGGCTTTCGAAAACATTGAGAATTTGAATGCTTAATTAATTCGCCCGAAGGTCGGTCTACGACCTCAAGAGTTATGAAGAGGTTCCTCCGTGGACATTTTTTTTCGATTTATAGCTCATATAAGGTACCGGTCAGTCGAGGTCAGTTTTGACCCCCACATCGTAGACTTTTCGGCCAACCGGCCCCCGTGTTCTGTCGCACCAAGGCAAGATCATGCCAAATTTGAAGCGCCTGCGGCGCCGGGAAGTGCCCTATCGGACACCCGACAATCTAGATCTAGATCTAGATTCCTAAAAGAATTTTTTTTTTAAATTTAGCCCGAGCATAATAAAAAGAATACATTAACCAAGTTGACTTGCTGTGTCTCGAACCCGCACCACCTGCGTGGTTCAATGTACACTAACATCTCCGCTATTTAGGCACCTTATAAAATACGGAGAATGAAACACGTATTTTAAAATCTTAACTTACGCGAATATGCCTATTCTTTCAAATTAATTTTTTATCCCAAATTAGCCAGTTCCAAACAAAGATTTTGTATAAAATAAATAAGTCTTGAAATAGTTTAGTCCTAATATAGACATTTATTTTTGGAATTGATTTTAGAGAAGTTAGAGTCTAAATCTAGATCTTAGCGTCTACGTCTAGATCTAGTTATTGCGTAGATTTAGATTTAGATTTAGTCTAGATCTAGAATCTCTAGATCTAGAATCCAAATACATAAAATAAATTTTATGAGTTTAGGCCGGAAAAATTGTATTGTATACATTTCATAGTGTACGTAGATCTAAATCAAATTTGAATGAAATAGTTCATTTCTTTTCATTCTTAACACGGCAGATGACGTCATTAGTTAATGTATAAGCAATAGTGACGTCACAGTTTTATGCGTTCTTTTTCACATATATTAATGCTTTTCCGGTTGCATAAATAATACTGTTTCTCTACATTCGAATACGCCTTAAATTTTTATTTTTCTTCTTTAAATAAAATTGTGGTTATACATTTAAAACATCTAACATATTATTTTCAACAAAAGTCCGTAAAAAATTCTCGATATATCGCTGCCGATTCTGACGTGATGTCCGGCGAAAATTTTTTGCGGACAGAGAAAGAGAGAGAGAGAGAGAGAGATGTGCGCACATTGGGCTTTTATAAATTAGGATTGCACAACTAAAGAGGCCCATTACTTATTAACTGATAGCTAGAGATTAACCAAGCGCCCCACCGACACTCTAAATGTAACACAAGCTTTCATAAACTGAAGAAACAATTACACAAACATTCAGTGAATTAACGGTACCTACGCCTCACTTAGAGTTTCTTCCAGGCATCTCTTCGGGGACGTAACCCCCCAGAAGACTGTCTACCCCCTCCCCCGCCCGAACGAAATAGAATTTATATAGAAAATATATACTTTTAACAGTGACCGCCCCCCCCCCCTCCCGGAAAAATTTGTCCGCCCCCCACCCGGAGAAAAAGTGCCCCCCCCTCCCCCGGAGAAGTCTGGAAAAATCACTGCTCAGACTTTGTAAATAAAACTGTTGAAAGCATTACAGTTACATGACTAAGAATGAGAAATCGTATCGATTTACACCTAGTTAAGTTCTACTGACTGCCATCTAATAAAGCCATTAAAATTTAACACGTCTCAAGTCAACACAGTGGTATAGACATCGTTATAACCCTTAAACATTGACACGTCTTAATCTGTACAGTGGTATAGACAGTGTTATAATCACTAAACATTGACAAGTCTCAATCTGTACAGTGGTATAGACAGTGTTATAATCACTAAACATTGACAAGTCTCAATCTGTACAGTGGTATAGACAGTGTTATAATCACTAAACATTGACAAGTCTAAAAAATTAGTGGTATAAAGATAGTGTTATAAATCATAACTACCTTTGCAGAAAAAGTAGAAAGCAATTCTTGTAGTTTGCCAATTTCGATCCGATAATTGTCTAGAATAACCGGATCCACATTTTGGCCGTCAGTGACGTCACAGATAGAAAATCCTGAGCATGACGTGAGGGCCAGTTGTGCAACTTCCGGGCCAGCTGACGTCATCATAGGTTACGTTACAATTTGTTTTCTATTGGCTGCAATTAAGATGTAAGAGATTGGCTTATAATTCAAATGTAAGAGGTTGGCTTATAATTCAAATGTAAGAGGTTGGCTTATAATTCAAATGTAAGAGGTTGGCTTATAATTCAAATGTAAGAGATTGGCTTATAATTCAAATGTAAGAGGTTGGCTTATAATTCAAAAGTTTATTGATTTATGTGTACACATTATTGTACACAAACATGCGAACAGTATCACCCGTACACACGCGCACATGCGCATGCTCACACACACACATACACACACAGACTTGTAAAAGTTTTGAGAAGGCAAGGATAACTGTTTGGACAAATGTGCGGATGATGTGGACAAATGTGGGGATGGTTTGGACAAAAGGTATATATTAAGGGAGGATAAGAGTCAGTAGTTGGGGTTGGGGGGGGGGTTGGGGGTGACTAATTAGGAAGGTATAAACAGTTTAGAGTAGAGTTGATAAAACGAAGAACACCATTGCCGTTATCATGGTGAAATGGTGTTGCGACCAAGAATGAAAGTAGAGCTGATAAAACTAAGAATACCATTATTATGGTGGAATGGTGTTGACATCAAGTATGAGAAAAGAGTTCATAAATTAAGGAAACGAATATAAATAACACAGTTGGAGATGTAGGCCATATCTTTGTACATTGTTTTCATCTCTCAAAACACAAGCGTAACAAACAACACTAAAAAAAACAATACCTTAGTACCTTAGTTATCTGTTACTTTGTCTTGTTCAAGCAGGTCCTTTTACTTTTCTGTAAAACACAAGTCTCAAGAGTAAACAGAACAACGTGGTATGACAGAAACTTCCGCTGTACAGAATCACGTGATCTATCCCAGCCAATGTCCATACTAATTTGGTTTACTTACGGCACGTCCTTAAAACTTCCCTGATCTTCGCGGATATTGCTCGACTCAACAGCAATCTCCCACCCACTACCCCACCCCCACCGCCACGCAAGGTGGCATGGATAAGAAATTAATTAAAGGTATGCTTTACTCGCAAACATCTGTCGTGTAACAAGCGGATTACTTGATCTTCTTACACGTGTGTCGCTGTCAACTTACCTGGCGTGCAGGATCCGTCAGTCAAGATCCTGCTACACACCACTGGGTATCTGGGGCAAACCGTGCCGCTCCTACGGCACACACACACATACACACACACATACACACATACACATACACATACACATATATTATATTTATATATATACACACACACACACATATATATATATATATATATATATATATATATATATATATATATATATATATATATATATATATATATATATATATATATATATATATATATGTGTGTGTGTGTGTGTATTTGTGTATTTGTGTGTGTATATATTTTTTAGATGGCCAATGTGTACTTATAAGACTTTTAAACACTAATTATTCATTAACTGAACTGGCAAAAAATGCATTTTTCTTCTATATTTGTTTTTCGTCTTGGTGTCATCCTCCCCCCCCCCCCCCCCCCTTAATGGTTCGTACCCCCTCCCCCGCCTCGCGACGCCTCAGGTTTGATTATTAGATCGTTGTGACCAGGAAATGATACACTTGAGTATTCTGTTACATCCGTGCTAGTAGTTTTTCGGGTTTTGTTTCAAACTTTGAAATAAAATCCATTAAAAACTCAAAGATCAAAAGAACATATCGAGTCTGATTCTTTTATGCTTTTTCGGCGCGGTCGAGTCGGTAAAGCTCATGGTTGCTAAACCAAAACATCTCGATTTCGAACCCTCGGGCAGATGAGGCTCGTTAGCTGGGGACAGCAACTCTTCTAGGAGAGACAACTGCAAAATAAAACAACTGCTGCCTTGTAGTTTGTTCTTGGTTGGACAAAGGCTATGGAAGCAAATCCAAAAAGAAAAGCAGGCTAAAATCGGGGTCAATGGCCTCAATGGCGCATAACCAGTAGACACGTATCCTTAACTGTGATGGAGGCGCAGTCTAGTCGGCCAAAGCACATGGTTAATACATTCGAAATAGTCTCGAGTTCAAACCCTTTGGCAGATAAGGCTCGATCCCTTCCAACACTAAAAATTAAGAACGAAGCAGAAGAAGAAAAGAACACATCGAGTCTGATTATTTTATGCTGTTTCTTGTACAAACTAAAGTTAGTATTCTGTAGTGTTGAAAAAAAATCTTTTTTTTTCTTTATATTATTTAACAGCTTGGCTGTTGTTAGTTTCAGCATATCGACCCACTTTGTTTTGTAGGAATAAGTGACAAGGGTTTTTAACACTGCAGTTAAGTTAAAAGCGTGTTTTGTAAAGAGTTAACCGGATATATTTATCGCTAACTACACCACTGTCAATCCCACCCCCATATCTTCAAGGATATGCATATTTACAAAATCAAGAAGGGCTAAACGATAGATATTAAATTAATAATAACCTACTAGATTAAAAAGTCGATATATATAGAAAAAAAACTTCATGGTGTGATTTACTGTTGTCTCCCTTGATAACCAGCGGTGGCTGCTGGCTCTGTGTGATGTGGCCAGTTATATCAGACTGATACAGGTGACTGATACAGGTGACTGGTACAGGTGAATGATACAGGTGACTGATACAGGTGAATGATACAGGTGACTGATACAGGTGACTGATACAGGTGACTGATACAGGTGACTGATACAGGTGACTGATACAGGTGACTGATACAGGTGACTGATACAGGTGACTGATACAGGTGACTGATACAGGTGACTGATACAGGTGACTGATACAGGTGACTATAACAGGTGACTGATACAATCAGGTGACTGATACAATCATGTGTCTGATACAGGTGACTGATACAGGTGACTGATACAGGTGACTGATACAGGTGACTATAACAGGTGACTGATACAATCAGGTGACTGATACAATCAGGTGACTGATACAATCATGTGCCCGATACAGGTGACTGATATAATCGCACCAGGCGATGTGTTAAAATGATGATAGACAATGCGTGACTAAAATTGTGTGTAGTTGTGTGTGTATTTACTGAAACCATACTCTATCATGGCTGCTGCTACTTATTAAATGTTTTTTTTAAATATTTACATGTTCTATATAGTAATTGTTTCAACCTATCAATTTGGAAGTTAGCGAATTCAGAATTTAAAAAAAAAGAACAATTTTCTTGGTTTTGTCGTTTATTTAACTTTTCTAAATGTCAGAAAAAGTAAACAATGCTACAATTTTTCTTTTAAATAACAGAGAATTATTCATAAATCACCATATACCAATTTAAAAAAAAAAAAAAAAAAAAAGCCATTTCCTTGCTCTGTTTAAAATAGCTGCAGTAGAATTAAATAATCATTGATTTACTACACTGATCATCATTGTCATATTCCAGCAAGGCGTATGAGCAACCTACACAGAGCGTATGCAGGCGGTGTTTCTTCCAGACTTTTTTTCTCCGGAGGGGGGGGGGGCACTTGCTCTCGCTGCGTACGCTACTACAGTTCTCTGCCACTAATGTAATGGGGCCAAATACTTTTTTTTAAAAACTCGCAATAATTTAAACGTAGAAAATAAAATAACTATAACTCCGTTCCGGCATTTTTTAACTAATTGGATTAAATTATTTTTTGTACAATAATAATCAGTCACATAATCAAACTAAGATGTATCAACCAGTTTCATCGTTGTTACCAATTGACAACTGAAATGAGATCCTTACATAAATAACAAGCTATCTTCTAGCATCAGATGAAAACTTTTACCTAAGTTAGTTTCTTGCAATTTTTTAAATTGCATTTCTGGACACCTTACAAAACAGAGATTTAAAAAATGTATTAAAAAGAGTGTCATGTACGATGACAGTTAGCCCTGTGTGTAGTCAATCAGTTTTGGAAATGTTCAGCGGCCATTTTTTCCAACATTTTCCTCCGGACTTTGCCCGTGAAGGTATGCGGGAAAGAATCAGTAAAAAAGAATTTTTCCGGAACTTCTTCTGGGGAGATGTGAGTGTCAAAAAAGATCTTCTTACAAAACTCTTTCAGATCCTGTTCTGTCAAGTTTGAATGTTTTTCCCTCACAACACAAACACACAGTTCCTGGAATCTGACTGGATGGGAAATTCCTGCAAGTATTTTTATATGCTTTTGTTAAAATTGGTATAAGTGTTCATTTAAAACGTTAAAATAATAATTTCGATAATCTTTGTTGAAAGAGTTTATACTGAATAAATAAAAATAAATCACGTATATTTGGTAAGGAAGAAATTCAGTGGGGAGAACAAGCAATATCGTTGTAGAAAATAATACTACTATCTTTAGCAGTGGCAATTAATACTAAAACATTTAGTAATGGAAATAATACCACTGACACCACTATATTTAGTATCAGAGTTTCTTCCAAGCATCTTCTCGGGAAGGTGGGATGGGTGGGGAGGGGGTGGTGCTCCCCCCCCCCCCCCCCCCCCCCGAAGAAAGTCTACCGCCCCCGAACGAAATGGAATGTAGGCCTATATAGAAAACACATACTTTTACCAAGGTCCCCTCCCCCCACCGGAAAATGTTGTCCGCCCCCCCCACCCCCCACCGCCCAAACATGTCAAGTGCCCCCCCCCCCCCCCCCTCCAGGAGAAAAAAAGTCTGGAAGAAACACTGTTTAGTATTGGTGATGTTAACTTTAGCAAACATTGACTTTACAGTCGAGAGTAGAAGACACGAATGTGACCGACCTACAACGACGACCGAGGCGACACCTGGACACTTGATGATCGACTCCTCCAGCCACTGGGGGTGGACTACGGTAAAGCCAGCCAAGATGTAATCAGACGTTCTCCCAATGACGACCAGACCGCCAGACTCACTAATGGGATAATAGACCGAGTTTTTAATATTGCTAGCCGTAATGCCATTTCTCATTTTCAGACGTAAACATGTCTTATTTACATGCAAACATACATACACACACACGTATATATATATATATATATATATATATATATATATATATATATATATATATATATATATATATATATATATATATATATATATATATATATATATATTTATATTTATATTTATAATTATATTTATATTTATATATACATATATATACATATACATACATATATATATATATATATATATATATATATATATATATATATATATATATATATATATATATATATATATACCCACATAGGCCTATATACTGACATACATATATACACATGTATATATAGGCTAATCACACCCTTTGCTCTGCTCAGATATTCCCTTCGACGTATGTGTTAACCTACTCAATGTATCCCACATCGTTAGAGTCGAACCAGCCGTCGTCTGTAAACACTGCAGTGGTTGATGACTCCACACCCATGTAGCGACGCAGGACAGTCCCACCTGAGGAAAGGAAGATGCTGATCAAGTTGACAAAAGTTTACGAAATTCGATTTATAAAATGTCCAAGTTTAAAAAAAAGCACTGATGTGTTGGCACAAGTTTGACTTGATTGGTCCTGAGTTCAAATGAGTATTTTGTTCAGCCTACTTAAAGACTGAATCCTGATGGTATTACAGTAAGGCGCTAAGGACTCAGGTGAAAAGGAAACAGAGAAAGCCAAGGGAAACGTGAAGACGCACATCAGAAAAAAAAAACACTGACACAATCAGATCTTGTGTAACTGCCTAGAAAATTGCCAGGGACCAGCAAAGGTGAAATAGCTGTCTGTGGCGGCCCTTTGTGCCTTAGGGAAAAGATGATGCGATGATTTATTTCCAGCCTTTCTATCATTACCTGCTTTGTCGATCTTCTACATAGACACGCCCACCGACCAGCATTGTAAAATTGTTCTGGATACACACATAACAAATAGTTGAAAATAGTTCTTCATTAATAATTCTTTATATAAGCCTAAAAAAGTTACATTAATTAGAATATAAACAGTCATTAAGATAGATAAAATGCACACATTGTATGCTTTCCCACCTTTAAAAAATAATTTCCCTGTGCGATTTTTTGAAGTGATTTCCATATTTGTTATCTCGTCCACAATTTTCATTTGTGTGCCGCCCACTAGACGGTCGCCAGTGTAGCAATCCTTCACTGTGTTCTGGTGATAAATACAAATATTTGCTGTAGGATTTACAAATACCATATACAGTAAGGTAATCGGTTTTAGAGGCTTCGACCACAGGAGAGTGTTGACCACAGGTGGTTTGACAATTGGTGGTTTGACAATTGGTGGTTTGACATTTGGTGATTTGACAACAGGTGGTTTGACAATTGGTGGTTTGACAATAGGTGGTTTGACAATAGGTAGTTTGATAATAGGTGGTTTGACAATAGGTAGTTTGATAATAGGTGGTTTGACAATAGGTAGTTTGACAACAGGTGGTTTGACGATTGGTGGTTTGACAATTGGTGGTTTGCCAATAGGTGGTTTAACAATAGGTGGTTTGACTATTGTGGTTTGACAATTGGTGGTTTGACAATAGGTGGTTTGACAATAGGTGGTTTGACCACAGCGGGGTATTGACCACATGTGGATTGATGTTTTGTCCATAGAGAGTCTTTGATCACAGGTTGTTTGTCCACAGCGTGGCTTAGACAACAGGTGCTCTGACCATAGGTGATTTGATCTAGAATGTTTGTCCACAGAAAGGGTTTGTCAAAGCACCTGTGGTCGAAGCTCAGTGTACCCTACTGTAAAAGCGCCCTAGACTTTTTCAGTGCAGGAGATTATTATATGTGTCCACTTAAATCACGAGCACAAACATACACACATATCGTTGTCAGGCTTCGTTATATTCTAGAAAACTCGCTAGACAACGGTGCCTTATCTTTTCTTATGACAATAATTAACATTAGTTTGGTACTGCTAACTAACACTAGGATAAGTGGTCTGATGTTTCTCCTCTCACCTTCATATCTCCTGTGACCAAACCAAGGACAGTATATCCCAAGTCAGTAGACCCATATATCGCCATGTACTCGTCACAAATGACGTCCACCAGATCAAAAACGAACTAGATCAGAGAAAGTTTTATGTACAACGTAAAGTTGCAACAGTTGCAAATGACATTCAGCAGTTCAAACACAAACTAGATAAGAAAAAAAAGTTGTATGTACAACGTCAACATGCAACAGTTGCAAATCGCGTTTAAAAAAAACCAAACGCTCACTAACTTATAAAAGATTATGAGATTGTGTCGACGTTTATTATCTACATACATTTTTGTAGTCCTACTTCTAAAACAAATATTTAACACTTCTCATTTTCAATCCTTACCCTTTTTATGGGCATGGCTCCGATGATAATTCTTTTAATTCGCCTTGTAACTGTGCCGTTATCAAAAGCCTGATACCGAAAATTAAGTCCAGATTAAATTAATTTGAATGTTAATTATGGACTCATTTCCAATAGCTCACCCAAATTAAAGATTGATTTAAGTTATGAGATAAAGTGCACGTGTTGTGGTTTACCAATGATTTGAGTTACCAGAACAAGTGTAAATGCTGTTATATACATACGATTTGATTTACGAGAGCAATTAGCCTTCGTATTGCTGCTGAACTGGCATGTATGCACTTGTGTCTCTTGTGGATAATTAAAATGTAAAAAAAAACACACGTAGAGTTCACCTTTTTAAGGTCCATGATTTCTATCGGTACAAGCATAGCAGCATCAGCTCCTTCATCGCAGGCAATATTCCAAAGATCAACTATATTCATTGTGGCTGAACTATCTAGGTATTCTTGGACTATGGTTGTCGCCCCAGACCCTAGGTATAGACTGGGGAACCCGGCCATCCACTCCATGATACGGTTGTTGAGGACGATATGAATGTCTTTGCTTGATACTATCTGCGATTGCTAAACACTCCCTTTGAGATTTAAATAGTTTAAATATATCTGTATATATATATATATATATATATATATATATATATATATATATATATATATATATATATATAATATATATATATATATATATATGTATGTATGTATGTATGTATGTATGTATGTATGTATGTATGTATGTATGTATGTATGTATGTATGTATGTATGTATGTATGTATGTATGTATGTATGTATGTATGTATGTATGTATGTATGTATGTATGTATGTATGTATGTATGTATGTATGTATGTATGTATGGATGTATATGTATATGTATATATATATATATATATATATATATATATATATATATATATATATATATATTCGTAAAAATACGTTAAAACCATCTTATAATTAAAACTTATAAAAAGCAATATACTAAAACAGAGTAGTTGGTCTCTAAAATGTACTTAGATTTTATAAATTGGTCAAAAATTATTTAACAAGGTTTTACTGCTGACTGATAATTAATTTGGCCATTTTTTAATCAACCCCTCTCCTAGCACCGCTGTTCTATTTCTTTTACCCGTGTGTTCTCGGCACCATCTTAGAGTAGCCAGTGCTGCCGGAAGTCAAGAAAATGTAAGCCTCGTCATCGGCCGTGACGGGGGCGACATAGAATTCTTCATCAGCTAGACGAGAGAGGAAAGCTGTGTGGTCTTCGTGGCTGTTTAACTGTTTAACGATCAGTTGTTTTAACCACGGGGCCTGGTCACACTCCACTGGATGTATGCTCTCTGCACTGTAATAGTTAAACACATCTAATAGGTGGGTCTACGACAAATTCCCGAAAGACACTTGCCCGAATAGGGGTCGGCTGGTCGAGTCGGTAAAGCTCATGGTTGCTAAACCGAAAAGTCTCGAGTTCGAACCCTCGGGCTGGGGACAACCACTCTTCTAGGAGAGACAACTCCAAAATCAAACAACTGCTGCCTTGTAGTTTGTTCTTGGTTGGACAAAGGCTATGGAAGCAAATCCAAAAAGAAAAGCAGGCTGAATTCGGAGTCAAATGCCTCAATGGCGCATAACCAGTTGACACGTAACGCTTAATTGTGATGGAAGCATGGTCGAGTCGGCAAAGCTCATGGTTGATAAATTCGAAAAAAGGTTCGTGTTCAAACCTCCTGGAAGATAAGACTCGATCCCTTCCAACACTAAAAATTAAGAACGAAGAAGAAGAAGAAGACTTGCCCGAATGCCGTTTGCCGGAAGGCCGATTTCCCGAATGGACACTTCGGGGATTTGTCGCATTCGGGCAAGTGTCCATTCGGGCATTTGTCGCATTCGGGCAAGTGTCCATTTGAGAAATCGGCCTTCAGGCAAACGGCATTCGGGCAAGTGTCTTTCGGGAAAACGTCCGGCTCCCCTTTAGGTATCATTAGGTTTAGGCGAAAACAGTAGGCCTATATAATACACAGAAAAATTGAATGTTTTATAATTATTTATTGTACGTCACAACTTGAACATTTACAGTTTTTATGATTTTATGAACAGCTACTAAATAAATAAATTAATTTATTAATTAAAAAATATAAAAAATAATATATATATATATATATATATATATATATATATATATATATATATATATATATATATATATATATATATAAAGTTCTGGCATAAACTTTTGTGAGCAGGGACTGGGACTGTTTTTTCAAGTTCGCCATACCTACCCTACAACAAGATCCGCTTCTCCAATCTTTAAAAATCTCTGAAGAAAAACAAATTCCGGGTTTTCCCACGACGCTATGATTGTCCTACACTTTGAAATATTGAGGACTCTAAAAATATCTTGACCGTCCGCTTGTATAGTCTTGATAAAGAGAGCACGAATATGTAAACAGATAGGTTCACTTTCTGAATAACATGAACTATAATTTCATTAAAAAATACACCCTGTAATAAGTCATAGACGCCATCTTACCATGCCATTGACAACTACACCACCAGCAGCTATGGCACCAAACATCGATATTAGTTTCGTCCGGGAGGTTTTTATCATAGAGCACACAACATCACCAGTCTAGGGACAAATAGGGTTGGTTGGTGGTTAGACAAATGGGGTTGGTTTGGTTGGTGGTTAGACAAATGGGGTTGGTTTTGTTGGTTTTTGGACGAATGGGGTTTGTTGGTGGTTGAATTGGACAAATGAGGTTGGTTTGATTGGTGATTGAAGTGGACAAATAAGGTTGGTTTGATTGGTGATTGAAGTGGACAAATGAGGTTGGTTTGATTGGTGATTGAAGTGGACAAATGAGGTTGGTTTGATTGGTGATTGAAGTGGACAAATGAGGTTGGTTTGATTGGTGATTGAAGTGGACAAATGAGGTTGGTTTGATTGGTGATTGAAGTGGACAAATGAGGTTGGTTTGATTGGTGATTGAAGTGGACAAATTAGGTTGGTTTGATTGGTGATTGAAGTGGACAAATGAGGTTGGTTTGATTGGTGATTGACTTTGACAAATGGAGTTGGTTTAGGTTGAAGGATGTAATTGACATATAAAGGTTAATTTTGGTATTGACTGAAGTCATATTTCAGTCTCTAAACGTAACACATTTCATATTGCTCTATTATTAGCCTGTATAGTAATACCGTAACGTCTAACCGAAACTACTCTACGTTAACACTGTAGGGCCTACTTTAATACCGTAATGTCTAACTGAAACTCTAATTATAGCCTGAAAGGCCCACCTTAATACCGTAAATTATAATCGATTCAACTGTCAGCGTGCACCTTAATAACGTAGTGTCTAATTGATACAACTGTAAGGCTGTACCTTAATAACGTAGTGTCTAATTGATACAACTGTAAGGCTGTACCTTAATAACGTAGTGTCTAATTGATACAACTGTAAGGCTGTACCTTAATAACGTAGTGTCTAATTGATACAACTGTAAGCGTGTACCTTAATAACGTAGTGTCTAATTGATACAACTGTAAGCGTGTACCTTAATAACGTAGTGTCTAATTGATACAACTGTAAGCGTGTACCTTAATAACGTAGTGTCTAATTGATACAACTGTAAGGCTGTACCTTAATAACGTAGTGTCTAATTGATACAACTGTAAGCGTGTACCTTAATAACGTAGTGTCTAATTGATACAACTGTAAGCGTGTACCTTAATAACGTAGTGTCTAATTGATACAACTGTAAGCGTGTACCTTAATAACGTAGTGTCTAATTGATACAACTGTAAGGCTGTACCTTAATAACGTAGTGTCTAATTGATACAACTGTAAGGCTGTACCTTAATAACGTAGTGTCTAATTGATACAACTGTAAGCGTGTACCTTAATAACGTAGTGTCTAATTGATACAACTGTAAGCGTGTACCTTAATAACGTAGTGTCTAATTGATACAACTGTAAGGCTGTACCTTAATAACGCTGTGTCTAATTGATACAACTGTAAGCGTGTACCTTAATACCGTAAATTATAATTGATACCAATATTAAAGTAAAGTAAGTAAAGTTTCCCTTTTAAACCTGACGGTGTATGGGGCAAGTGAAGTAGAGTTCAACTGTTTCTGTGACCTCGGCATATGAAGGGATGGTGTGGTCAGCACTTTGCCCAACCGTCTTTACTTTCCCTAACGTGAGTTAATACCACTATTAGCGTGTACCTTAAGACAGTAGCGTCTAATTGCTACCACTATAAGCATGTACCTTAATATAGTATCGTCTAATTAATACCATTATAAGCGTATACCTGAATACCGTAGTGTCTAATTAGTACCACTATAAGCATGTACCTTTAATATAGTAACGTCTAATTGCTACCTTATAAGCGTGTACCTTAATACCATAACGTCTAATTGATACCATTATAAGCGTATACCTTAATACCATAACGCCGAAGCCTTGAGGCATATCTTCCACACAAGTCCCAGAGGTTGTATCTCGATAAGGGAATTCGCTTCACTGTCGGGCTGACAAAAACATATCCATCTCTGTTAGGGTCTTCATTGGCCAGGTACTGAAACCTATTCATCAACACATCTGTAGGAATATCGCCTGGCATTCTCGTCGACTGAAAGTAAAATATTTATTTACTGCTGGACACAACCAGTTCATACTTGCCCCCCCCCCCTCTCCACGCCCCACCGCCACACCGAAGGGTCTAGGGTTGGTAAGCTTAGCTCTAATAAACTCATCTAGATCAAACAAATATTATTCATAAGTAAGTCCAGAAAGAATACTTTAATATCATTATGAATGTATATTGCAATTGTAGAAAGGTAAGCACCACAGTAACAAAAACTTTATAAATGTTAGGACCACGCTAACAAAAACAAAACAAAAAATGTGAGAACCACACTAAAAAAAGCAACGAGTAAGCATCACACTAACAAAAATATATTAAAAAAAACAGGTAAGCACCCTAATACACTAACAAAACTATAAAAAAAAAACAGGCAAGCACCCCACTACACTAACAAAAATATTTGAAAAAAAACGGGTACGCACCCCACTACACTAAAAAAATATTTGAAAAAAAAAACGGGTTAGCACCACACTAAAAAATATATATAAAACAGGTGAACACCACTCTAAACAAAGCAACGAGTAAGCACCACACTATCAAAAAACAAGTAAAAACCACACTAACAGAAACCACTGTAAGAGAAACAGCCAAATGTGACCAAAGAACGTGTGAGCACAAAGCGATCAGCTGAATCATTTTATATAACAGAGTACAGGATGTTATGCAAATCCTGGGGCGGGTGGGAGAATTATTGTGAGCAGTGGTTCATCGAGGTGTGTCCTGAGTATGGTCTTACATCATGGAAGTTGTTACCGTTTTGTGGTATTATTATATTTAGATGGGCCGGAAAAACAAAAACAAAAATGCAATGTAAATGCAGTATTTCATCACCACTTTTCAGATGATGGCTTTTTGTAAAAGTGGCATTTACATTGACTTTTCATTAAGTCACGTAAATTAATTTTTATTTATGGTATACTAGATCTAACTCAAATAATTTTGTTTTAACAAATAAAAAAATGAAAACAATTATTAATAACAATACTTCTTTAATCTAGAAAAGCTCCTACAAAAATAAAATAAAAAACACATAAATAACGTTTTAAGAACAAGCTTTTATGCAATAATGAACTAAAAAGTAGAAATTAATGATTTTCTTTATATATTGAATAATGCACTACCATCTAAATAAATATAAAGAAAAGCGTGAGTCACTTTATAATCTATTGGACACTTTAACTAATATTTTAGAATATGAAGAAATGAACTCTCTCATTCAAATTTGATTTAGATCTAGATTCTATAAATCTACTTATCAAGACTTGCGTTATGAAATATATAGATTTAACCAATAACTATTTTATAAATTATTTTTTTCCAAATAAGTATAACCTTAAAAATATATAGGCCCATAATTCACAAGAAACGAGTACCCATGGCTAATGTGTATAATGTGTATGCGTTTTTGAGAAATCGGAAATTACTACTTCCGTTCACCGGCAATTACTCAAAAGCCAACAGAAGGCAGAGAAATAGATCTTTTTCTTATGTGTGAAATTAATTTAATGTTTCTATCAGAAACAGTACTCAAGTTATAGCCATTTGAAAAACCAAAAGTAGAATAAACTCCTCTGCCGGTTACCAGAATTCGCTGAAAAGTTGAAACAGAACTACAAATTTGATATAATACATATATATGAAATTTCATCAACATAGCTATAATGGAACTAAAGTTATCGTGTTCACAGATACACGGACACACATCCACACACATACACATATGAACGCAAAAAAAAAGACAGCACACCACCTTCCAGAGTAAGGTATTTATCTAATAGATATGTATGCATATTTATGGATGACAAAATCTGCCGCTCTTTTTTAAGCTAGCAGTATACAGTTACATTTCTGATACATTTATTATCCCGTTGTGCTGGGGATATTCAACGAAAGAGCTGTCAATTGAATGTATAACCTACATTTTATGTGCCGTTTTCATTTGTTTATAAATCAAACATGTGGACGTCCACAATGACCCCCCCCCCCCCCCACCTTTACAGTCCGCACGCACGTGTCCACAAAAGTCCATTTCTTTTTCGGACACCCGACCTCCGTGTGGACGTCATAAATGGATGACCCCTTACCCACCCCATTAACCCTGATCTTTAAAATCATCTCCATCTGTTACAATTACTAGTCTTCGCAAAAAAAAGACGTACATTTGTAAAATTACAGGCGGCATAGCCTGCTAATACCCCTGAAAAAAACCTACAAAGCAGTTGATAACAATTGACGTATGAAATGACTGACAGGTGATTAGCGTTAGAATAATTTGGACTGTGTATTTTATCACCTCGGCTGACAGTTTTTATCCTCTGGTTAAAAGATAAAAGGGAATAGCGGCTTGATAATACTCATTTTAGAATCCTATACGTCGACGGGGTTAACGTCTGATGGATTAATTTAGAATGTTCTCTCCCTTTTCCCCTCTCTCCCTTATTGCCCTTCCTCCCCTCCCCGGGGAAAAACGCATTATTCCAAACCATTCAGATCGTACAAACTCAAATAAAAGTTCATTAGGCAGCCTTGTTTGTAATGCTTCATTATTGTTCAAATTTATTTGTATGAAATTTAAACTTCAAAGTAACGACATTTCAGTTGTGTGATCTGTGAATGTGAATTATGTCTTAACTTAAATGACCGCTAGCTCTGTTTTATAAATTGTGATCTTCAATATCTCAAGTATGCCTATAATGACTGCTATTTTTTTTTAAATGTGAATATTTGTCTGAAGTTTGAAGTGTAATGATCGCTCTTTTTTTAATACTGGCCGTTATTTGTATAAAAATGGTCTTTCTGTTTTAAATAAATAAAAACAAAATTTCACAGAACATCTTCCCGAAATTAACAAGATGATCACAAAAAAAAAAAAAAAAAAAAAAAAAAAAACAGGTACTTTTCATTTTTTATTGACTCATTGTTGTAAAAATAATTATTTTATAACAAATTCATGTAATATATTTTTATACAGCCAATATTGACAGGTTTATCAATACAATAATAAATATCTACAACACACACATCTGCCAGGAAATGACACAAGCAGATTTGTAAACTTCAATGTATAAAATAATACTGAACAACACTTTTATAGTAAGGCAGGACATATCAATACATTAATTAAATGCAATGTTCATGAACTTTTGATAAACAACATTTGAGTGGTAATTGTATGCGAAAGTTTTTAAAAATACTGCATGGTTAACAACACATCTCTCATGATCCACATTCTTTATGTACATATAATTTATGATAGGAAATATTTCAAGTTCTATATTGGTGTACATTTGCAGGCTTTAAGGATATTTAATGTATAACTCAACCAAATGTGAACTGCGCAACATGTTTTCATCAAGAGAAAGAACCAGAACTCATGGTGTCCTTCATCAAAGTTAGGACGGTGGCAGTGAACGCCCTTTTGACGGCGGGACGCTGGTTTTGGATGGGGATTTCTGGCGTGGTGACGTGCTGTGTGACAAAGTTGTAGATGGCGTCGTTCGTGACGTCAGGTTGAACCAGTTGTTTCAGGCAGGATGATGTCATCTGTAGATTGGATGTTATGTTTTGGATGTCTTGGCAGGCAGCTGCGCCGTAGCTGGGGTCACTGACCTGTGACTTGATGTAATAGGCGTAGGCGGAGAGCTGGGTCAGACGGTAGAGCCGGGAGTACTGGGGAGGGTAAACAGGTGGGTTGTTACAGGTGGGTTGTTACAGGTGGTTGGATTGTTACAGGTGGTTTGTTACATGTGGGTTGTTACAGGTGGTTGGGTTGTTACAGGTGGTTTGTTACAGGTGGGTTGTTACAGGTGGTTGGGTTGTTACAGGTGGTTGGGTTGTTACAGGTGGGTTGTTACAGGTGGGTTGTTACAGGTGGTTGGGTTGTTACAGGTGGGTTGTTACAGGTGGTTGGGTTGTTACAGGTGGGTTGTTACAGGTGGTTGGGTTGTTACAGGTGGGTTGTTACAGGTGGGTTGTTACAGGTGGGTTGTTACAGGTGGGTTGTTACAGGTGGGTTGTTGCATGTGGGTTTTTGGTAAGTTATTGGTTTAATTCTTTAATTAAAAATCAGAAAAGTAATTGTTAAATTATTAATCAAAAAACGTCGCTATTAAATCAAATAAAATCGTACACAAAACATACCTGGGTGGTTGTGAACTCTGGAAATTCTTGCTGTGAAATATTTATCGAACCACAGGCAGATTTGTAAATTTTGGCTTTCAGCCCGGTGTCCATCCATGTGATCCATGAAGTATACTGGGGAGGAGAGTTATCAGTTGGTGTGATAGTGGGGATATACTGCTGTTATAATAGTGGGGATATACTGCTGTTATAATAGTAGGGATATACTGTTGTTATAATAGTAGGGATATACTGTTGTTATAATAGTGGGGATACACTGCTGTTATAATAGTGGGGATATACTGCTGTTATAATAGTGGGGATACACTGCTGTTATAATAGTGGGGATATACTGCTGTTATAATAGTAGGGATATACTGCTGTTATAATAGTTGGGATATACTGCTGTTATAATAGTGGGGATATACTGCTGTTATAATAAAGGGGATATACTGCTGTTATAATAGTGGGGATATACTGCTGTTATAATAGTGGGGATATACTGCTGTTATAATAGTGGGGATATACTGCTGTTATAATAAAGGGGACATACTGCTGTTATAATAGTGTACATATAGAGGAATTATAAAATAAACAGATGTTATAATAGTGAACACATAAAGCAGTTTTTGTCTGTGTGAACATTTTATGCCAGACCACTAAAGTATCGATTTGTTCAACAAAAAGTGACTTAACTTATTTAGAAATTTATGGATTAGTTTTAACTTATTTAAAAAGTTATCGATTAGACTTACCTTATTGAGAAAGTTATCGATTAGCCCCAGAAGCCTATACTTCAGTATCCGATAATTTTCCTCAAGGACGGGTTCCTGACTGACGTCACGGGGGGCACGTACAGCTGCGGTCATTCCATCGGATACGTCACTTCCCGTCCTGCCGTTCTCCATACTGGACGACAGGGCAAGGGCGGCAACTTGTGGGCCGACAGACGACATGTTTGCTGTTTCTCTGTCTGACGATTGGAGAATTATGTTCTATCTATGATTGTGTTCTGTCTGTAATTGTGTTCTATCTGTGATTGTGTTCTATCTATGATTGTGTTCTATCTGTGATTGTGTTCTATCTATGATTGTGTTCTGTCTGTGATTATGTTCTGTCTGTGATTGTGTTCGAAGCAAATCCAAAAAGAAAAGCACACACGGCCTCAATAGCGCATAACTTGTTTACAGGTAATACTGAAATGTGTTGGGGGAAACTAAGTTCGACACAATATTTAAGAATGAAGTAGAGATCTCATCCAAATAATATTCAAATTTATTATGTCAAATTATAACTTTAATAAAAGTTGGATAGAGATTTTGTTGAAAGCTAAAGTGATCACGATTCGTTTTGATATCACTACAAGTTTTTCCAATCAAATTTTTAATAAATAGACCTAAAGATCTAAATTCAACTACTATATAGTATATACATTCTACTTGGATTTAATTAATAACACAGATAATAATCATAATGCTATATTTACTTGAATCAGTCTTGAAGATAGAACTACAATTATCATCAATTGAAAGTCAGCACTCTTGATATAAATGTGTTTATTCCTTTGTCAGAAAATTTTTCAATGTGTTTTAGATCGTGGAGTTTGATGAATCAAAGCGAGGTTCAAATACGGTGTCTTTTATATACTAGCGAGTGGGATTTCCCTGAAAGTTTAAGATCAGTTTCGGAAACAGAATCGAAGCGGGAATTCCCGTTAAATTTTCCAACGATAAAGTCAGAGCGGCCTAACATCACTGAGGTTTACCTGTTTCAGTAGCTATATACTAGGTTACATGTGGGGTTTTTTTTTCTTTTTTTTATTGTATTAAACTTTTTTTTATGTAATTACTGACTTTACTTACAAATCGTGTTGGGCCTACATCGCTTGCATTTTTGTATTGTCACAATATTTTGTCACATGACTCACTTACCTCCCCCCCCCCTCTACCTGTCTCCTCCCCCTACCTGTCTCCACACCGGCTATCCATATTAGTCATCCTACCACGTCATTGGGACTTTCCCGACCCAGTTTAACTTTTTTATTTCGTGACGTAGCAAGCTGATGCAACCTTTGTTTGTGTGTGTGTGTGTTTGTGTATGGGTGTATCTGAGTGTGTGTTTGATTGTGTGTCGTGTCTGAGTGTGTGTTTCTAGTTGTATCTTTGAGTGAGTTTGAGAATCTGTGTGTGTGTGTGGGGGGGGGGGGTTGGTTCTTATGTGTGTTTGTTTATATGTACATTTATGAGTGTGTGTTATCTCTGAATGTAATCAGTTTCTGTGTGTGTGTGTGTATGAATATGTAAGCTGGATCAGCGTAAAATTCTAGAATGTTCAAGAGCGAGATTACAAAAGTTTATGCATGGATATTAACGTGAGAAAAAAAAAACTATGGTTTGCTTTCTGTCAGCTTTACTGTGGCATCTGAAATGTACTGAGATAGTTTGACCATAGCCGTGTGTACTAAGACAGTTTGACCATAGCAGTGTGTATTGATAGTTTGACCATAGCCGTGTGTACTAAGACAGTTTGACCATAGCAGTGTGTACTAAGACAGTTTGACCATAGCAGTGTGTACTAAGACAGTTAGACCATAGCAGTGTGTACTAAGACAGTTAGACCATAGCAGTGTGTACTAAGACAGTTAGACCATAGCAGTGTGTACTAAAACAGTTAGACCATAGCAGTGTGTACTTACAGTTTGACCATAGCAGTGTGTACTAAGATAGTTTGACCATAGCAGTGTGTACTAAGATAGTTTGAACATAGTAGTGTGTACTAAGAAAGTTTGACCATAGCAGTGTGTACTAAGATAGTTTGACCATAGCAGTGTGTACTAAGATAGTTTGACCATAGCAGTGTGTACTAAGATAGTTTGACCATAGCAGTGTGTACTTACAGTTTGACCATAGCAGTGTGTACTAAGATAGTTTGACCATAGCAGTGTGTACTAAGATAGTTTGACCATAGCAGTGTGTACTAAGATAGTTTGACCATAGCAGTGTGTACTAAGACAGTTAGACCATAGCAGTGTGTACTTACAGTTTGACCATAGCAGTGTGTACTAAGACAGTTTGACCATAGCAGTGTGTACTGACAGTTTGACCATAGCAGTGTGCACTGACAGTTTGACCATAGCAGTGTGTACTAAGACAGTTTGACCATAGCAGTGTGTACTTACAGTTTGACCATAGCAGTGTGTACTAAGACAGTTTGACCATAGCAGTGTGTACTAAGACAGTTAGACCATAGCAGTGTGTACTTACAGTTTGACCATAGCAGTGTGTACTAAGACAGTTTGACCATAGCAGTGTGTACTGACAGTTTGACCATAGCAGTGTGTACTGACAGTTTGACCATAGCAGTGTGTACTAAGACAGTTTGACCATAGCAGTGTGTACTCACAGTTTGACCATAGCAGTGTGTACTAAGACAGTTTGACCATAGCAGTGTGTACTAAGACAGTTAGACCATAGCAGTGTGTACTTACAGTTTGGCCATAGCAGTGTGTACTAAGACAGTTAGACCATAGCACTGTGTACTGACAGTTTGACCATAGCAGTGTGTACTGACAGTTTGACCATAGCAGTGTGTACTAAGACAGTTTGACCATAGCAGTGTGTACTAAGACAGTTTGACCATAGCGGTGTGTACTAAGATAGTTTGACCATAGCAGTGTGTACTGACAGTTTGACCATAGCAGTGTGTACTAAGACAGTTTAACCATAGCAGTGTGTACTAAGACAGTTTGACCATAGCAGTGTGTACTAAGACAGTTTGACCATAGAAGTGTGTACTAAGACAGTTTGACAATAGCAGTGTGTACTAAGACAGTTTAACCATAGCAGTGTGTACTAAGATAGTTTGACCATAGAAGTGTGTACTAAGACAGTTTGACCATAGAAGTGTGTACTAAGACAGTTTGACAATAGCAGTGTGTACTAAGACAGTTTAACCATAGCAGTGTGTACTAAGACAGTTTGACCATAGCGGTGAGTACTAAGATAGTTTGACCATAGCGGTGAGTACTAAGACAGTTTGACCATAGTGGTGTGTAGACAGTTTGACCATAGCAGTGTGTACTAAGGCAGTTTGACAATAGCAGTGTGTACTAAGACAGTTTGACCATAGCGGTGTGTAGACAGTTTGACAATAGCAGTGTGTACTAAGACAGTTAGACCATAGTAGTGTGTACTAAGACAGTTTGACCATAGCAGTGTGTACTGACAGTTTGACCATAGCAGTGTGTACTAAGACAGTTTGACCATAGCAGTGTGTACTAAGACAGTTTGACCATAGCGGTGAGTACTAAGACAGTTTGAACATAGCAGTGTGTACTAAGACAGTTTGACCATAGCAGTGTGTACTAAGACAGTTAGACCATAGTAGTAAGTACTAGGACAGTTTGACCATAGCAGTGTGTACTGACAGTTTGACCATAGCAGTGTGTACTAAGACAGTTAGACCATAGTAGTGTGTACTAAGACAGTTAGACCATAGCAGTGTGTACTAAGACAGTTTGACCATAGCAGTGTGTACTAAGACAGTTAGACCATAGTAGTAAGTACTAGGACAGTTTGACCATAGCAGTGTGTACTAAGACAGTTTGACCATAGCAGTGTGTACTAAGACAGTTAGACCATAGTAGTAAGTACTAGGACAGTTTGACCATAGCATTGTGTACTGACAGTTTGACCATAGCAGTGTGTACTAAGACAGTTTAACCATAGCAGTGTGTACTAAGACAGTTTGACCATAGCAGTGTGTACTTACAGTTTGACCATAGCAGTGTGTACTAAGACAGTTTGACCATAGCAGTGTGTACTAAGACAGTTTGACCATAGTGGTGTGTACTAAGACAGTTTGACCATAGCAGTGTGTACTAAGACAGTTTGACCATAGCGGTGTGTACTAAGACAGTTTGACCATAGAAGTGTGTACTAAGACAGTTTGACCATAACGGTGTGTACTAAGATAGTTTGACCATAGCAGTGTGTACTGACAGTTTGACCATAGCAGTGTGTACTAAGACAGTTTGACCATAGAAGTGTGTACTAAGACAGTTTGACAATAGCAGTGTGTACTAAGACAGTTTAACCATAGCAGTGTGTACTAAGGCAGTTTGACAATAGCAGTGTGTACTAAGACAGTTTGACCATAGCGGTGTGTAGACAGTTTGACAATAGCAGTGTGTACTAAGACAGTTAGACCATAGTAGTGTGTACTAAGACAGTTTGACCATAGCAGTGTGTACTGACAGTTTGACCATAGCAGTGTGTACTAAGACAGTTTGACCATAGCAGTGTGTACTAAGACAGTTTGACAATAGCAGTGTGTACTAAGACAGTTTAACCATAGCAGTGTGTACTAAGGCAGTTTGACAATAGCAGTGTGTACTAAGACAGTTTGACCATAGCGGTGTGTAGACAGTTTGACAATAGCAGTGTGTACTAAGACAGTTAGACCATAGTAGTGTGTACTAAGACAGTTTGACCATAGCAGTGTGTACTGACAGTTTGACCATAGCAGTGTGTACTAAGACAGTTTGACCATAGCAGTGTGTACTAAGACAGTTTGACCATAGCGGTGAGTACTAAGACAGTTTGACCATAGCAGTGTGTACTAAGACAGTTTGACCATAGCAGTGTGTACTAAGACAGTTAGACCATAGTAGTAAGTACTAGGACAGTTTGACCATAGCAGTGTGTACTGACAGTTTGACCATAGCACTGTGTACTAAGACAGTTAGACCATAGTAGTGTGTACTAAGACAGTTAGACCATAGCAGTGTGTACTAAGACAGTTTGACCATAGCATTGTGTACTGACAGTTTGACCATAGCAGTGTGTACTAAGACAGTTTAACCATAGCAGTGTGTACTAAGACAGTTTGACCATAGCAGTGTGTACTTACAGTTTGACCATAGCAGTGTGTACTAAGACAGTTTGACCATAGCAGTGTGTACTAAGACAGTTTGACCATAGTGGTGTGTACTAAGACAGTTTGACCATAGCAGTGTGTACTAAGACAGTTTGACCATAGCGGTGTGTACTAAGACAGTTTGACCATAGAAGTGTGTACTAAGACAGTTTGACCATAGCGGTGTGTACTAAGATAGTTTGACCATAGCAGTGTGTACTAAGACAGTTTGACCATAGAAGTGTGTACTAAGACAGTTTGACAATAGCAGTGTGTACTAAGACAGTTTAACCATAGCAGTGTGTACTAAGGCAGTTTGACAATAGCAGTGTGTACTAAGACAGTTTGACCATAGCGGTGTGTAGACAGTTTGACAATAGCAGTGTGTACTAAGACAGTTAGACCATAGTAGTGTGTACTAAGACAGTTTGACCATAGCAGTGTGTACTGACAGTTTGACCATAGCAGTGTGTACTAAGACAGTTTGACCATAGCAGTGTGTACTAAGACAGTTTGACAATAGCAGTGTGTACTAAGACAGTTTAACCATAGCAGTGTGTACTAAGGCAGTTTGACAATAGCAGTGTGTACTAAGACAGTTTGACCATAGCGGTGTGTAGACAGTTTGACAATAGCAGTGTGTACTAAGACAGTTAGACCATAGTAGTGTGTACTAA